CTCTGCAACTCCTGGAGCTTTTTTAAAATTTCTGTGTCTCCTTCAATTCCTCTGAATGTGTTTGATTCAAGGCTGCTGTTGATGCTTGAGCTTCTCGTTGTGTTTGTGTGGAGGTGCAGCATCATCGGTTACCGTGGTTACACAGTTCAAAAAGGAGTTAAAATCGAATGAATAAAAATGCACCGGCACATGCTGCAAAAAAAGAAAATGAATTAAAAGGAATTTAAAGGAAAGCAAATGTTTTAATTCTCCTGCAGGTTTGAACTGAATCTTTCTTAATGAGATGAGTAAACTCTGGCTTCAGTCAGACTTGTGAAAATTAAGTCTTGATTTGGTTTTGCACAAACACTAGTAGGTCTTCTATAGACACACTAATTGCATTCGTGTTAATAGACGTGAAACCTTAATGGGAGACTCTACAGGTCCATGTCTAACAGATATAAACATCAAAGTTCCCCAGCTAATTACTTACATTAATGTAATTGTTTTTTGCATTACAAGTTTTCAGATTTTTACGTTAATATGTTAAATATGCCCTAAATTACTTTGATTTCCAGAAGGGAAATGTGGAAACTGAATGATGTCAGGCTCAAAACTGTTGCTTTGTTTTGTGGATTTTAGATATCTGTTTTCAGCTCTTCTTAAATAAAAGCACTTTAAGGCTGTGAATGATATATAACCAACCCTCAGTAAAAATATGGGAGTCTAGACAGGAATAAAAGAGGAAAGTCTGGTCTACGTCTGGCTCAGAGTAGGAGGAGCTGCTGTTTCACCAGCTGATTACTTACATTAACAAAACGTGTTTTTGTGTTACAGCTTTTCTGACATCACCATCACACAATTAACTCACGTTCTCAAAGGCTACAGTTTTAATTGAATTATGCAGGTTTTCCATCAGCACTCACAAATATTAAGACTCACTCAGCAATCATGAAATTCTGCTTTGGACTTTGAAAAATTTTACTCACCAGTTCTGTTAGTAACGGAAGACACGTCACCTTCACGTGGCTGCCAACAGGTACCTCAATAAATACAAAATAACGCTGTAAATTTGTGGTGGGAACACTTTTTTATTTGCTCCCTTACTTTTGTCTCTGTGGTGAATACAAGCGGTGGAGATGTTCCAGCTCTCCTGAGGATGACTGACTGATAAACTATGTGATATTGTAGAGTCTTATTTGCAATATTTAACTTACTCAACTTAATTTATATAATAAATAATACTGTACGATCATCACCTTAATATTTAAAATTATTACGTAAAGTCATTACAGCAACTGAAAAGAGTTAAATCAAACAACTTTGAATATTTTTGTCTTGTTATTCTGCCTTCTGGGTTTTCTGCTTTTACTTTATCAGTCGAAACACTTTGCAAGCTCTTGTTTTTAAGAGTGCCATAAAAATAAAGTATTATTATTATTATTATTATTATTGTTGTTGTTATTATTATTATGAAGGAGGCTGGACGGTAATAAAACCAGCGTGTTGGGCTGATTGCAGCTAAACAACACCGACCCCTAGTGGTGGATGAGAAACACTGCAAGATAAGAGGAACGTCAACGTCACAATAGTTCTGCAACGTGTTCTGATGAATGTCTGGGAACTGTGATGGATTTAAAGGACAATACCACCATAAATTTGTCCAAATTCTGGATAAATCTGTCTTTCTATCCTCTGTTTTTAACATAAATGGTTGAGCAGCTGTCTGGCTTCGGCTCTAACTGACATAACAGCTAGTTCTCATATTACTCTTGTCATCTGTGGAGTTGGCTCATTTGAATAAATATGCATTTTAAGACCTCCTTTTACAGCCACGGATCAAAGCAGCGTGTGTGTCTGCTGGTTATGCTATCTAACCAGTTCTTTTATAAAACCACACCTGACTGAGCTGTGGATTAACTCAGTGGCCAAGAATGTGTGAAGACTTGAACAGCTCAGAAATCTTTTGTGTGCAATTGGCTCAGTGTAAATCTGTTCTAACCAGAACAATAGAAACGAGAGTTTCGACCTTTTCTCTCAGTCAGAAACGAAGACCATTTGCATGCTGCATTGGTATTTTTGTGTTGATGGTAAAGTAAGGTAATAAAAAAACAACAACTTCTCCTTGTCTGTGGGAAAGTTTGTAAAAATATAATGTCCGGCTTAGATACATGATTACATTTTATCCTCCTGAGGCATAAAAGTTAAATGCAACAACTACCTATTTATCAAAATAAATCAAACTCTACATGTTGCTGAAAAGGTAACTTGATAAAGAAAAATGGGTCACATTGTAATGCTGGTATGAAACTTGATTGACACTTGATTCCACAGCTGTAGTGATGACTGGAAAACTGTTCCTTTTATTTATTTTTTTAAATAAATGGGATTTAATTGTGTATCATAATTACTAAGATTCAATTCTACAATCCTTCCAGCCTTTAAAAGAAAAAAAAAGCAAACCACACACTTAAAGGAAATCAGTTTTCTAGTTTGGATCAAATATATCTTCTCTGAAATATGCCACAAAACTAAATCAGGAAGAAGAAAACTCCCCCATGTTTGTTTTTAGATTGCCATTGTGGATGTAAATTATCCATGTTGTTAATAAAGTTTTCTAGGAAACAAGCTAAAATAAAAAAGTAAAAATAAGACAGTAAAGGTGCAGTGAGTAGCATAAACCACATATTTAACAATGTGTAATTGAATAATTTCCAATTAATAAAGTTACTTCATTTACTAGTGTTGTAGGATTGTCAAGCTGCAGGCACGTGTCAGCCAGCAATATGTAGGCTATTTCAAAATAAAATATTTGTTAAGCAATATGTGCACTTTTCAATAACAAGTAGGTCAAGAGAGGCTGGATTTTTTTATTTACCATAAAATACACATAATAGAGAGAACACATCGTCTTCCACGCCCTAATTTTATTGTAGTTGTTTTTTCTTGAAATTATAGGCTACCTTTTATACTTGAACTTCCGGTGTGACAGACGCTGGTCTAACTTTAGGTGACTTGACGGCGGAGCTTCAAGAAACCCACAGCCAGCGACAATCAGCAGATACAGGTCAAGCCGTCCAGTCGCAAACATGGTGTCCGCTGCTGTGCTGGTCCTCCTCACGCTGGGCTGTGTGTGTGGAGAAGCTGCTGCAGACAGAAAGCTGGCCTATGTGACCGTGGTGAGTCTTATTTATCTTCGTTACAACGCTGCTGAAGCTTCGTTTAACTCCACAGCTGTGCGTCGCGCTGCTCTGCGATGTGACTCGCGGAACTGCGCTCAAAATTCTCGGAGGTTTCGTGTTTCCTTGTTTCTCTGAAGACGTGTCAGTCGTCTGGACACCAATTAAGTTCGGCAGAAATCTTTGAGGTGTTGTAGTAAATTCGGCATACTAATAATAGATAAATAAACGCTTTAAAAGACAATACAAGTGCATTTTTTTGTGTTTAGTTTACAGCGCTAGCTAGCAAAACAGGCTAACTCGTTGGAAAACTGCACGTTTTAATGACACAGAAGAAGAACTCAGCTTTTAATAATAACTTCCAATTGGTGAAAAGGTGAAGCGTGTGTTGAATTCAGACGAAACTACAAAAGATATCCGTATCAAAAGACAGAATGTCTGTTAGCAAGACACTTGACATAAGAAGTTTGAAGTGTTGTGGAAACGAGAGACCGGCGCCGCTTCACTGGTCTCACCTGTGTGACCTGATAACGTGATTAGTGTTGTTGTAAAGTTTTATTCATTGTCATAAACTCGTCCCAGCAGGTGACCAGTGCCATAAAAACAAACACCATTGGCCTTTATATTCGTTGCATAAATACTGATATTGCTTTGGTCATATCTGATCTGTGGGGCAGTGCTGATGGTCTGACTGATTGGGACCTGGTCTGACTGATTGGGACCTGGTCTGGCAGAAGCACGTCTGAGGAGTTCCAGCACAGATCAGCTGTGGTGAGGAAGCACTTGCTGAAGTATTTGCTGATGCAGCTGACCTGGACCTGGTCTGGGCTCATCAGGAAGGCCAGCATGCCTCAAGGGGGGAAGACGCACAGTGTAGCCGAGGACACACAAGTTATTGTCTTGACAGAGCGACAATGAAGTGACGCCACATGATGCACTTCACATCTCCTTCACTTCCACTTTCCTGTGGTTCAGCATTTCTTTCTTTCATAACACTTGACCAACAGCCTTCTAAGTGAATACCAGCGACTTTCTATGCAAAAATACTGCGACAAATGCAAATGGTTGTATTGTGACACAACCTGGAGGACGTGTTTTGGCCGCTTCAGGGAAATAAGTCTGGTGTATCGTCATAAATCTGCTCTGGCTATAGGATGAGCAGGTCGTCTTTTCTACCCTCTCTTCCTTTTTTTACGTAAGAGGCAAAGATTGTGTCAGGGATGTGAGAATTGAAACAGCTTCAGTCATGTTTTGTTGTGTTAAAGTAATGACATCAGTGCTAACAGATGACACTCAGAGGAGAGACTGTGGCTGCTTTCAAGGTTTTTCTTGCATAGAGGAGATTTCAGTGTCAAAAAAGCCAAAAAAGAAATCAGTAAAATGATGATTTGAAGCCAGTTTGTTAATCAGGGCTTCATTTCCTCAAGCATGATAGACGTTTTGTTCATCAAATGGTCAAAAATGAGAAGAAAACGCTCAAATATGTGAATCCAGACGCTTCGCTTTTCCTGTACACAACCTGATTTATGCTTTCTGTCGTGTGTTGCCCCCCTCCAGGAACAACCTCGATGTTACATGTGCTCATTATTGCTTTCATTCTTAGAAACTTGCTGCCTGCTAGAGAGCCGTGAATGGATCACGGAGCAGATTAGGAGTTTGAAAGGGATAATCCATCCTTCAAATAGAGTTTACACACCTTTATATTCTGGCTGTTGTGCACAGACCGCTCATGTGTGTCAAATCTTCTTCCACATCCGTAAACCAGAAAACCACACGTCTCTGTAGTGGCTTTAAAAATGAAACTGATTTGAATTGGCAGCTGTTGTGAGGCCCGATTGGTCGGATGTTGATGTTACTTCCAGTGTCGACGGCATCAGTCCTGTGTGCAGCAGTAAGTTCTAGTAAAGAGTCCAGTTACTGTTTAGCCAGCGCTGCTTTTAGGAGTTAGGTGTTGAAGATGTTTGTCTTAATTAATTCCATTACAGCCTTGGACACGCACTTGGCGAGGTCTTTACAGTCAGCTGACTGCATGGTATAACCCCCAGTGGCACAGATACAACTAGAGCGAAGGTTTGACTTGATTTTACAGAAGCTGCACGATGTTCACAGATGTGACAAGGAAATATCGGGACATTATCAAGTATAGATATCAGCTGTGAAGCTCCAGGACAGCTGGGCCTTTAAGTAGGCTACACAGTCCAGGAGGTGACATAACAAAACAGTCAGTAAATCTGCTTGATTAAGTGGCTTCTAATCTGCTACCATTTCTTCTTCATTGGCAAAAATACTCAGAACAAAAACTACTTTATCATTTAAGCACCTTTGTGAGAACGTTGCAGAGAACTGTTTAACATGAGGTGCATCATTTGTCAATCTCTCCCAAAAGCTTCAGCTCTGTTTAAAATGTGTCCGTAGGTAAAGGGAATAAGTTCTACTTTCTTTTCCACCGTGTGAATCTCACGTTTTCGTCTGCAGTTGTTGGTAAATTAGCAGCAGCCATAAAACTGCACTTTAATTTTCTTCTGTTCCTTTTCTGAAGCTTTGGGTTTTATAGCATGTTTCTCCTTTAGTGTCGCGTTACCTATGGAGATATTCATGTGTTCTAATAACATGTATGTCTTCTTTCTCCCCTGCAGTTGTTTCGACACGGTGACAGATCGCCGGTCAAGGCTTATCCTACTGACCCCTACCAGGAGAGCGACTGGCCACAAGGCTTTGGGCAGCTGTCACAGGTATGTTTTTAGATTGTGGTTCCCTCTACAGTTACTGCTGATTCATATGATGTTGGTGACCAAAAACATCTGATCTCCATGTGCTCATTATTTCACACTTATCATCTCGTTCTGACGACATGGAGAAGCATCAGTGTGCTCAGCGTTCACATGTTGTCTTTACAAATGCTTCATTTAACCTGCTCTTGAGAAGCTTTTGTGTCACCTAAACGCTGCACAGATCCTCTCTTCTGCCTCCAGAGGCGTCACGAGGAATAAAACTCTCCATGTTTGTGTTTCCAGGAGGGGATGAGGCAGCACTTTGACCTGGGCCAGTTTCTGAGGAATCGATACAAAGGTTTCCTCAGCGAGTCCTACAACCGGCACGAGGTAAGACGTGAACCTCCTCTTCACCTCCTCTTCACCTCCACATCACATGGCGTCTCTGCCGGGAACCTGTTCGGACAGTGATTCATAGGAATATTGGAGAGAAGGGGCCTCTCGCCACATTGGTGCTATACAGGTTCCCACTGCTGCTGGAATTCCTGGAGCATGATGGAAGTCTGAGAGGCGTTTTCTAGAAGCTTCGCCTTGTACTTTATTAATTAGCACTCATTTAAGTCAGTAGCTCTTTGCATTACAGTAAAGTTGGACTAAACGTATTCTTACTGTTTGTTTTCAGATCCTAGTTCGCAGCACCGACTACGATCGCACCCTGATGAGTGCCGAAGCCAACCTCGCAGGTCCGCCCACAAACCACCCCATCATCTTCCTCCTCAGCTCTCCTCATCCTCACTGTAACAGCCCGTTTCACGTCTCTCCTCCAGGTCTGTACCCCCCCAGCGGTGCGCAGGTCTTCACGCCGTCCCTGAAGTGGCAGCCGATACCAGTGCACACGGTGCCGGAGAGCCAGGAGAGGGTCTGTACACGACGGGTTCATCAGGTGTCCTCGCTGCAAGTGATTCACTTTGTCTGAACCTCATGTCTCTTTTTTTTAGCTTCTCTCGTTTCCTTTGAGCGACTGTCCTCGCTACAAACAGCTGATGAATGAAACCGAGCACACGGAGGAGTTTCTTAACGTCACCGCAACATACAAGGTGCAGCTTCTCTTCTTTATTCAGTTCTCATCTTAACAAGGTCATTAAAATGGGCTTTTTTCATCTTAGTGCATAATTCAGATTTTTTTTATGGACCCAATGATGCTGACACTCCTGCTTTTATCGCTGCCCATTAAGCCAATTTTAATTATCTTTTTACTGAGTTACCAAGAAAACTACATCCAAGACTAACCTCATCGCCCCGCTGTTAGAAATACAGCTCCGGCTTATTTATCTTCTGTCCCAAAGAGATCACAAACAGCCTTTATGGTTTTTCTATTAAATGTTTCTTATGTGTCCCATAAAAGTAGCGGTAAGGCGGCTGTTCTGTTGTGATGCCTCTAACCTGTGGACTGCACTGCCTCCATATCATATAAAGGCAAAGGAAGTGAAAGAACTACGTTTTTAATCTGAGTTTTTAGTTGGAGGGATGTTAAAGTCTAATAGTTTTTAAATTATGTCCAATAAAGTAATTTTTATTTCTTGTTATTTTATTTTATTGACTATTCTTTATCATTTTCAGCATTGTGTTGTTTTGTTTGTTGTTTACAGATTTATTTTTTAGTTTAAACGTGTTGAAATGTTGCAGTAATAGAAGGAAATCAAATTTATAGGGGAAAAAAAGTTAAATTTATATAAAATAAATAAATAATTTATAATAAATAAAATAAATATAATATTTGTAATAAAATATAAATAAAATATTTTTTAAAAATGTGGAATTTTGAAAGCATTTAAATATTGTTTTAATCTTTGGATGTATGATTTATTTAAAAATTCAAATAATTTTTCATTCAAGTTAAACATTTTGAGAAAATTGTGACTGAATTCCTTTTTATAAGTCAACAAAGGAAATGGACAAATAATTATCAACAACAACAAAATAAAGGTAGTTTCAGGTCGACGGTTACAGAGGTTTTTTTTGCCTTTTTCTCTTCAGGACACCATAGATCTGGTGAGGACCAAAACGGGACTGAACAAGACGAACGTGGAGTCGGTGTGGAGCGTTTACGACACACTCTTCTGTGAGGTGAGCAAACACACTCATAAGTAAAACAAGAAGTGAAAGCCATGTGTGGTTTCTGTTGAGCTACTTGTCGGTATCAATAACAGCGTCGCTTTTTCTGAGAAGTCCAAGTTTTATTTTCTGCAAACTGATATGATTCAGTTTCAGAGGTATGTTTGAAATGTTTACCGACATTTTATTGAACTGCATTATTAAAGATATGAAGAAAGAAGTTGCCCTAATTTCAAAATAAAAGCCTCCAGCGGTTTAGGACAAACGTTTACACGCTGTTTATTGAAGTTCACTTTAGCTAATTAAGCAAATCTCACACGTGATGGTGGTTTGTGTCGTCTCGTGACTGCACTGGTCTCACCACGTTTAAGGAACGTGGACATTTTGGCAGAAAAGCTGATTGAGGAACAAATCTGTGCAGCTTTGTGTGCACTTTTTTTTTTGGGGGGCGATTCAGCATGACTTTTGGTGTTCAGCATGAGCCCACATAAGCCACTTTATTCAGGTTTTCCACATTGTTATACACACCAAACAGTGTGAGATGTCAAGCTGGGGCCAGGCTTAGCCGGGTCGCCGAGTGTAGCCACAGAATAATCAAGCAACAACGTGTGACATGGCAGCAGCAGAGGTGAAGGCAGTCTGCTGACATAAGAAGTACAAGAATGAAGTCTGTCAGCGTAATCTTTGAGGCCTTCTCAGAAAGTCTTGTTGGTGGTTTTTCTAACTCGTACCGTTTGCCGTGTGTTCAGTCCCGTCACAACATGTCCGCTCCCGACTGGGTCACTCCGGACGTCATGAACAAGCTCCGGGAGCTCAAAGACTTTGGGTTTCAGGTAAAAAAGCTGCAGCCTTTCAATTAGAACTTCTGATGATCCAAACACTCTGATTACATTATTGTTCTGTTGGATGTTTGCAGGTGTTGTTCGGGGTCTACAACCAACAGGAGAAGAGCCGGCTGCAGGGAGGTATGTACGTGTTTGTGGGTGAAGTTCAGCAGCAGGGACTCGGCAGGTTTGGCTGGTTTGGTATTTCATGGTGTGGTATTAGACGCTGAAGAACCTGCTTGACAAAGATTTTCCATTCAGCAAGGCAGTAGTGTGAACTCTCACAGACTTGGGGCGATGACGACATTTACGTCATGCAGACTGCAGCGTACTGCCCGGCGTGTACAACAACAGCTTCAGATACACCCAATACTGAACCTCATCTCGCTCCAGTTCATCACGGCCCGTCAACATCTGTTAGAAATGGGCGCTATGAGTCTGAAGTTCTCAGTGGGTGTCGTCACTGATGCTGCTTTTCAGGAGAAGTTTGTTTAGCAACATGTGGTTAATGTGTCAGAAGACTTTAAACCAAACAGGGATCTTCTCCCAAACTTAACCAAGACCTGAAGTTCACCAAACATGACTGACAACAAGACTTCATTCACAGAATACAAAAATAATGGTCTGACAAGACACATCTGGATAGAATTCCAAACACTTCAGTTCCTCTGTAACTCCATTCATCTTATGAGGCTCTTTTAAACTGGAAGAAAAGAACTTGTACACATCTGGAGGACACTGTTTGTATCTCAGACCTTAGATAAGAATGCAGGATTTGATGCACGTTAAGAACAGGTTGCAATACTGAATTGAAGCGAATGGATTTTAGTGACAATGATACAACTAAAGAATATCACCACGTCGCCTTTAGCTGCAGCTTTAAACTCCCGTCTGTCTTTCAGGTCTGCTGCTGGGTGAAATAGTGAAGAATCTTTCCAAGATGGCCGTCCCAGACCCGACACAGAAACTCAAATTGATGATGCTCTCGGCGGTGAGCGAGTTTAAAATATATTTTTAGTTGCTGTTCGCAGGATTTATTGTCTTTGGACTGTTTCCTCCGTTTCCAGTCATTCTGCTGAGCTCAGCTAACAGGCTGCTAGCTGTAGCTCTGTATTTTGAGTAGAGATCACTCCTGATGAGGAAGCATGAATATGCTAAAATCTGTGAGTGTGTGTGTGTTCCACAGCATGACACCACTGTAGCTGCTCTGCAGGCCAGCTTGAATGTGTTCAATGGAGTTCAGCCGCCATACACCTCCTGTCACATGTTTGAGCTGTACCAAGAAGAAAACGGGTAACAAGTCATAATACTAACCAATGCACACTACACAGAGCTGAAGTAGACAAAACAGAAAAACTGAGTTCAACAAATGCATGAGACTTTACTTTATATATATATAAAGTGTAAGAAGAAACCAAAAGAACTTTTAAGATGTTGTAAGATAGTCAGTGTCTGTTAAGACTGGACACTCTGACTACTTAGAGTCCAAAATGCTGATAATGTATCCTCCCTAAAAGTTGGACAGTAAAAACTAAACCTCTTCTCCCTCTCTGGTTGTTTCTCCTCTCAGCTCTGCTTCAGTACAGATGTTTTACCGGAACGACAGCACCGTGGATCCGTACCCCATCCAGTTACCAGGCTGCTCCCTCAACTGTCCACTGGATGAGTTTGTTAAAATTGCGAAGCTGTCCATCTCAGACGACAGAGACAAAGAGTGCCAGGTGCCTTCAGAAGGAAGAGATAAAGGTAAAGCTGTTGACACACTGAAGCTCATGACTGCTGCTGATGGGTTGTGCTGCTATCACACCACCTTTTGGTTTGTCTGTTCCCAGAGATCATCATCAGCCTGGCCCTGTCCGGCTGCCTGCTCCTCCTCCTCATCGCCCTCCTCCTCGGCGTGATTTGTTGGCAGAAGCAGCCAGCCAGCAGCCGCGGATACCACCATGTGATCAACCAGGAAGTGGGAGAGGAATCCTGACAGAAACACAGACTTCTCCCTCGGAGATCTACGAGCCTCACGTCTTGGGACAGCAGCGATGACGATGAACTTTGACCTCACCAGAGAGTCAACATGGGAGACTGTCGTGATTTTAGATGCATTGGGTTAACAGTGGGGGACGTTCTTGGTTGTGACATTACAATTTCTTGAAAAACCAAACTCTTATTTTTTTTTGTGTGTGTTTCCAGTCAAAACTTTAGCTGATTACAAAAAATGTTGACGTCATTAAATGTAATTATCTGAAGGCGTTAAACCGGGAATGTGACTGCAGACTGTTTCTGCTGTCTACAAGTCATCAGAGGGGTGGACTATGAAGTGAGAGTCATGCAGGTGTGTTGAGCTTTCAGTGTCACAAAGATGGCTCTTTTTTAACCTGCCAAGTCACCATGGAGACTGATGCTGCACAGCTAGATCACCATGGAGACTGATGCTGCACAGCTAGATCACCATGGTAACTGATGCTGCACAGCTAGATCACCATGGTGACTGATGCTGCACAGCTAGATCACCATGGTGACTGATGCTGCACAGCTAGATCACCATGGTGACTGATGCTGCACAGCTGCTTTGGGGAATTGTGTTCAGAGTTTGGGATTTAAATCGACTGGTGAAGAACCAACCTTTCACCATTTTAAAAAAAAAAAATCCTGACCATATTACACTTTGTTTTGACCAAAACACAAGTTGATTTCCTTCATGATGGGACAGAGTTGGACCTAAATGTACTTCTTGAGTATCACGTTTCTATGAATGAAGTGTGACGTTTCAGAGCTCTCATGACAAATATTAAAAATAAGAGAGCGTAAATATAAACATTAAGTTCTACCATTAACAATTCTCTACCAGCATTCCTGCTTAACATTATTTCCAATGACAGTGTTGCTCTTCCTGTGATGAATTTTTCCTCATCGCTCTCCATTATAACAAGCTGAGCACACGATTGGTCAGTTTTGTGCGGAGAGAGTCGCATGACATGTGGAACACCCCATTGCACCTGTTCCCTCTGATTGGAGTGTCAGGATTTGTTGATCCAGCTAACAAAGGAAGCCTGGATATGTTAAACTTCCTTTGTACTACACCCCTCTGATCCTTCTGTCATGTGTGTTTGTATGTTGTAATCGCAAGTTCATGGGTTTGCATTCATTTGTGTGTGCACAGATGTACTCATGAATCTGTGTGTGTGTGTGTACAGTATGAATAATGTTGGTTCGTTTTGTGTGTATGTGTGTGAGTCCTCTGAGGCCTAATGACCGAGATGCCTTAAATATTTTTACTAAAGGGGTGTTTGTTTGGGTTTTTGGGGGATCTAACACATTTTTTTGTCGGATCACATGTTTTTCGTTTGAAGTCCTTCAGAAAGACAAACAGCAGCTCAGTGGATGTTGAGCTAGCTCTGACCTTTCACCTCTTTTTAGACTGAAACGAAACAAAACGGACGACTTGGATAACAAGAATCCTTTTAGATGTAGTCAGTTAGCTGAACTTTTACTCTGCTTCCATGTAAAACAATCTAGTTCTGTTCTTTCATTGTGATTATTTGGGAACTTTGGAAACACTCGAGTGTTTTTGAACCTTCTCTTCACATTTACAGATTACATGATCTTCCTTCAGTGAGGCGATGGATCAGCCGCGGCTAAAACCTTCATCTCGTGTGGTTTTAGGAAACCAAACATGAGATTAGGAGGCGAACGCTGCTTTGTTTGCACATGTAACTTTCAATCTAATGCAGGGATGATCAGGGACTTAGAGTCCACATTGTGGAGCGTCGATGAGTTTGCACGTCGTTATCAGTTAAACACGGAGGAGACGCATTGGACAAGTATTTCAGACAGCTGATAATCTGTAATTATGAGGTCCAGACATTGTCATTTTTATTTTCTGTCATGCTGTACAAACTGATCGAGAATGTGTAAATATGTTTTTTTGCCAAAATAAATGATAAATAATTGTCAGTGTCATTTGGAGAACGCTGCGTGGGAACAGAGGGGGCACTGATATTCTGAGCTGACTTTTGTTTTATTTCTTATCCTGACAGAAAGTTGTACAGTTTATGCTGCAGTCAAATAATCCAGGGTTGCTGTTTTTGCTCCCATCATGAGACCGTCGGTTATTCTCACTCTGCTGCTCCTGGATGTTCTGATTCTGATCCACTCCTGTTCTTTCTACTACATTTATCCCTCAGCTTTAGTTACCTTAAGATTATTATTGTGATTGTTTTACATGATGGAAAATGTTTGAAGCTTTTAGAATACAACACAGTTACAGATTAAACAGTGATTTCCAACATTTTAGGGTTTTTTTTCATTACGTAATGTGCCTCATTGCAGACGTGGAGTTCCACCAAATGGTGATTCTTCCCTTTTAATGTCCCAATGATGCAATATCTCAGTAAAAAAGCAAAGATTAGAGAAGAACCGGCAAAAAGATTAGTTTTATTTGATCAGCAATTAGATTTATTGGTCGTTCCTGTCCATGAAACTGGATATAAAAGTGCAGCATATCAGAATATATCAGCCAGAGGGACCTAGCAGGACTTTTACTGCAACACTTTGCTGCTAAAAGCACCATAGTTTTATTTAAGTCGTATTTTTTCATGCGTGAGTGTTTATTTTTCTACTGTTGTATTATTTTTTTTACCTCTGACAGCTCTCTGAAACACCAGTATGTCAGCGAGCTGGCCAGCTGCTGTGTTGACGAGCTGATCCTCGTAACCTTGTTAGCTGGTAAATTCAGCCACATGATCAGCCCCGGTGGGAAAAGTCCGAACCGGTCGGACCCACAACAGCACAGACGGTGAGAACATTGTGATTTCTTTAGTTTACTGACGGCTGTGATGCCGTACAGCAGTCTGAGTGGGACAGAAAAGGTAGAAAAGGATGTTCTGGTTTGCTTTCGTCTTAAAAACAGTGCAGTAGGCCTTTATTTAAACATGGTAGTGCTTGTCTTGCATACATCATTAGTGATCTGTTGCACAATAGGTTACATTCAGTATGGCCACGGATAAAACGAGTCAGAACGTAAAACAATTCGTTAAACATTTACCTCTGCCTTTTTGGAGCAGATAGAGCAAGTAACATTTAACAAATAATACCATCCTGCAAAAAAAAACAAAGAAAGAAAAACAGAAGACACTGAGCTCTTGTAGTCTGGTGCAGAAACATGCATTCTGCACCGCAGGTGAGCAGCTGGACCCAAGAACAAGAGCTTCGCTTCCTCCACCGCACCTCAAAGTGTCCAGTTACACTGTGATCTTAAAGCATGAGCGGCAGATTAAATGATTTCACCAGAAGCTGATTTGTTTTTTACGTCCAGGCTGCAACGTTGCCTTTTGTTTGTTTGTTTTCCTGTATGAAGTCTACATGGTCATTTACAGGTTGAGTTTCATGACAGCTGAAGTACCACAGTGTTCAAATACACATGGACATCGTTTTTTTTGTTTTTTGTTTTTTTCCTATTTTTTTTTTTTTGTTTTTAGTTAGTTAGCACAGATGCACTGATTTTGGTCTGAGAACTGGGTCATAAACAACAACAACAACAACAACAAAAAGTGAAGTATTGCTTACAGGCGGCAGTCTGTCATGAGATTCAAAAAAAATGTGTGAGATTATGAAAAACCAGAGGGACAGAGGGAAATCAATGAGACAGTAAAAATCAGTGTAAAATGAAAATGCATGTATAAAAACCCACTAAACATCAAAAACAAAAGTCTAAGATCACACACACGCCGACTCAAGATGTCACCGAACACACATGGATTAGAAATCGATTAGCTGGGAGACACACAAACAATTAAAAACATACGTCATTCTTGTGCAAAAATATTTTCCTTAAGGAATGAAACTATTAGATATGACAACATGTGATGGCACATTGATATTTTCCTTTCTCAAAGGACAAATAGTAAATTTTAAGAATACAGACGATTACAGAAGAAAAAATACAAGATAGGACAAGAAAAAAACCCTACATTCAGGCTCCACAGCCTTTTTTCTCTGAAGGTGAACCTCTTTTAAGTGCAAATTGTTGCCTCACAGCTCACAAAGAATCGGATTTAATGGTTTTTTGGTCACAAACATTTTTCAAAGACCCTTCAAAGACCCTGGAGCGAACAGTCCAAGTGCTCAGTTTAACTCCAATGTTGAATGTAGGTCACACATTGATGCTGTAATCTATTAGATGTGGTCCAGATGATGCACAGACATAAAGCTATGATATGTTTTAACCCTCAACATTCAAGCGCTCCAGTTTTACATTTTCACATGGTTCCCATTGTATAATTGTGGCTAAAGAAGCCTGGATTTGGCTGCTGTGAGATGCTTTCATCCGACAGCAGCGTGGCTTATTCTGGTAACTGTTCCTCTTGACTTACTGACCAGGCTTTTGATATTGAGATTGACAATGACGCCCCTATAGCAGCTACATTTGAATTTCACGTGGGCTGTAAGCATTTTACATCAATGATCTAACACTTAAATAAATGTACCAGTATTTTGATTACAGTCAGCTATGAGAATCGTAAGCTTATTTTACATGTCAAACTATACAAGAAGCCATATGTGTAAAGTAGCATCGAGTTAGCATCCTGCTAATGGGGCTTATGCAACGTTCTGTTTGTGTGGCACCTTTAATTAACAATCACAGTTTCATAAATGGAATAACTTGTCTCCAACAACACAATATTACCAAGTTTGGCAATAGTTTTTGGCTTTGTGTGTTTAGATTTTTCTGGGTTCAGATTTTCTTCATTCAAGTAATGAGCTTAAGCTAAGTGTTAGCATTAGCTGTACGTGAGCACTCAAATTAGAGACAGCTCATTTCTGTAATACACCAACCAAAGAGTAAGAAACACCATGAAATGCCCTTTGTAGATGCATATCATCGAGTTTTCAGCCAGAAAATCCTTTTTATAGAGATTGAAACTTAGCATCCTACGCGCTTTTCCAGCTTAGATTAGCCTTTTCATGCTAATTTAAATGATTGTATATTTACCGTAAGTTCCCATTAAAAACAATAATGCAACCCAACAACAGCTGAACAAGTGCTGATTTTATCTTTATGTCCTTAAATGTGGACTGACAGGCCATTGTAGCTTTAGCATTAGCCATGTTAGCTTGAGAACCTGGCTACATATCCCCCCTTTGTGTGCAGAACTGTCCCCTCCATAGACTTGAGTCAAATTTACAAGTAAAGGGGGGAAAAGGATGACGAGAACGATGATTATCTGTTCACTGGTTTCAGTCTGAAATGTGACCAGAAAGCTTTTCAGTTTTTAGCCGCATTCAATGTTCTCAAGTCCTCAGAATGCAGGTTTTCATGGCCCGCCGGCTCTCCGGTCGCTTAAACCACCACGTTTCTCCAGAGTGACCTGGGGAGCCAATCTTTATGCACACCTTCATCCAACACTTTCAGAAATCTCGTGGTGAAGTTGCAAAAATGGTGACAAAAACACAGAATCATTAGTAAGTAAGTGTTGTTGGTTTGTTTTTTCAGTCTTTAGAATGGACCCTGCTTAATTCTGTGGGGTGCAGAAGTACGTCTGCGATCCACAGTAATAATTCTGCGGCGTGGAGTAGTAGTTACTGTGGTGGTGGTGGTGGTGGTAGTTGTTGTTCTGCGGGGTGGAGTAGTAGTTGTGATGGTGATGATGGTGACTCTGGATGTTTCCGTAGGCGAAGAGCAGGGGGGCCGTGGAAGATGGCGGCTGCTGGGCCGACGCCACGCCTGCCGCCAAAGTGCTGTTACGTTGGATGGAGCCGTACCAGGTAGACGTACCCAGCTGGGGGGTGGTGGACAGGAGACTGGGAGAGGACGAAGGAGAATCGAAAGTCATTTATGACAATTGATTTTTCAGTCCAATTCATAAAACACAATCTCAACTGACACCACTTATCGCGCACTTAAACTGAATATTAGTCACTGCGTGTGCGCCCACCTGGCTCGATCACTCCTACTGTTGATGCTTCTGGACAGGTCATCGTCACTATCGTACCGTCTGGGATTGTCAAAGAAATAAGCCCTGGAGCTGAAGCTGTGGCTGTTGATCATCCCTCCTGGAGCCTGACACACACAAAGATATTTGAGCTTTATCATGATTCCACAGCTTTAGATCATTCAGTTTAACTTTTCAAGTCGTTTACCAGGTTTTGGTTGGGTCTTTGGACTCTGAAGAAAACCACCACTAAGCTGGTAGGCAGCAGCTCCCAGAAGAACAGGATGATCCCGAACACGATGTAGGCCTCGCCGCTGATCTCCTGCACGTCGGCCTTTGATATGCACACACACAAAATCACACTCTGTTTGATAAAATAGCTCGACAGTATGGGAAAAAGGTTGTTTTCCTGCTGGCTGACAGTTAAAGGAGAAGATTCACACTCCTCTCATATCTATGGGCTGAATATGTGGCTAGAGCAGGTAGCAGTTAGCGTAGCTTAGCATGCAGAAACTGCTAACCTCTCAAAGACTCTAAATGTACACATGCATTTTGTTTATTTCATCTGTACACAAACTGAAATCTAAAAATTGACTTTATAACATCGCTATGCTACCAGTTTTATGCTAAGCTAACCTGTTAGCTACAAAATTAGACGTGAGTGCTGGCATCAGTCTTAATATATTAGCATCATGCAGCGACTACATTAGAAGTTTTTGATGTATTTGAGTATTTGATGCTTTCCGACATACTAGTTCTATATTCTAACCAGTAATGATCAAATTAAACTAATCTCTGAGGCGACAGCACCAAAAACATGAAATAATCCAGAAACCGAGTTATTAGTTTTGATAAGAATGCTCCTACAGGCACAGAGAAGAGATGCTTAGATGTTGGACTGCCAGTTGGTCCATGAACAGATTAAAAGAATAATTTGAAATGTCAGATTATGCTCATATCAAATAACCACTGGTATCTATGCTGTCCAACAAAAAAATACACACACAATGAAACCCTTCAAAATGGGCCCATCTCAAGGCCTGAGCCCTGATGTAGGTCAGGACACACACACACACACACACACACACACACACACACACACACACACACGGTTATTTATAGCCAAACAAAGCCCTTTACCCCACTGGCTTTCCCAAATCTCCTAAGATGGATTGTCTGGACACCCTGTGGGTCTCTGTCTACATAAAAGCCTTCTTCCCCGTCTCTAAGTGAACACATCTGGTGCAGTACCTGATCAGAGACGCTGTACCAGCCGTAATTAAAGGGACTGGGTCTGTCCTGCGGTGACAGGGCCACCACCACCAGGTTATAACAGGCTCTGGACGTGTAGAGGAGAATCACCACGGCTCCTATGGCGGTCGCTTGGCACACTGATGTACCCTGGAGGGAGAGTTATTGTGCTTATTACAAGCTCATGCATCAGCTGGCTGCAGGCCTGTAATTTAATGTCAGATATGGGACACAGATGGGATCCACCAGCACGACTCAGACCTCTGCACGACCAAACTGACAGATTATAGGCCACAAATTGGGTTTTGGGGGACATAAGCATCTTTTACGCATTCACATTATAGTTGGACAATAAATGTGATCTTTTGCGTTGCTTTGTTTACCATCACGTTACAGCAAGTGGAGTTGTGTTTAATAGTGGTACAAACATCTTGTTTTGATGGTAAACCAGAGGATGATCATGCTTATGTTTCTAATAATCAATTATTTGCAGTTTATTTATGTTATTTGCTTCATGCTAATGTAACCTGGTTTAGTCTACGTCTGCACCATCACTGCTTTAGCTGCTGTTTCTCACTGGAATTCTACGATTATTCTAAAAATCACCATCTTATTCATGTATTACCTACTCCCTATATGAAACACTCTCAGTAGTTTTAGTCAGCATTTTAGTATTTCAGAAACATTGTCTGCATGCAGCCTTCACTGTCTCAGGAACACACTGAAAGATTTTAGCTTTTATTTCTAACATAACTGACTGTTGTAATCATCTGTTTTCTGGCCTTCCACAGAAATCTTTAAACAGCCGTCAGATGATCTAAATGCAGCAGCACATCTTCTCACCAAAACCATGCATCCAGAGAACATTACTCCAGTTTTTAAGACTCTTCAGAGACTCCCTGTTCATTTAATATTTACTGGTTAGCCTTAATCTAAAATTTGTCTTTTTAAGTCTCTGGATTCTGTGAGTGTTGCTGAGCTATGACTCTTCTAGATCTCTATGATCCTCCAACTCTGGTTTCTTAAATGTTAGAAATAAGAATTCAGAGCCGCTGCATTCTGTGTCACGGGCCTTCACCTTTAAGTTCATCTGATTCAATCGTTGGCTTCAAACAAAACCTTAAAACCCATTGTTTTAGGATAGCTGCTGTGTAGGTTTTATGTAGTTTCATGTAATTTATAGGACTTTTATGGAACAAATGTTATTGTGCTATTTAATTACTATTATTTTTATTTTGTTGTTATTTTTTATTTTGTTATTTATTATTATTTATTGTTAAAACCTTCTTTTTTACTCTATTCCCATGTATCTGCTGCGGGTCATCATGACTGACAGCTGCTCCAAATATGGTCATGTAGGAACCTGCAGCGCTGCGCTCAGGAGCTGTACACAGGAACACAGAAGGTCTGTTCTTGTTCTTAATCGTGATTTATCGTCTTTTGTTTCAAACCACGAAATGAGGAGTGAATTCAGACATTCTGAAGGAACCTTTGTGGTTTATTTGGTGAGTTAAGTTTTCGTTTTTTTGTGCTAACTTTATACATAAGTTGATGCTAACGATACAGCTAGCTAGCTAGCTAAGAGCTAAACCAAAATACGGAAGAAAACGTAGCGGATATAAGCTAGCTAGCAGCTACTAAGAGTATTTAGAGTAGAAAACAGAAAGGTAAAACTGTGAATTACTAACTGCGTGGTTGATACCACGTCTGTTTCTCTTCTAACTAAACTGTAGCAGTGAATGTTAGCATTAGCGCAAGATGGCTGCCTTTGTTTGAACGTGACTTTTGGGCAGTACTTCACCTTTATGACTAAAACAAGATGGCGGACTGTAAATGTTGGTTGGTTAAAGGTTTAATTAGCAAGAACTGACTAATATGTAAGAGTGAAAAATGGAAATGTGCAGATTAGTGCTGTACTCAAATTACCTTCTTAATACCTCTGAGTAGGTTCCTGGTTTGTATTATGGGATTGTATAAGACATTGTTGTGACCTTTACACCAGTGTTGGTACCAATATTTGAACCTGATTTACACATGCACTGTTTCCTGTGATTAGTTTCCTTCATAGGGTCTATGGTTTAATCCTTTGTTTATTAGCAGCTTATGTAACCTTCATATAGGCTGCTGTTCAAACACCGTGTGTGCCCTGTGACCTATTTCTGTATGAATTAATATGACTGCTTTAACAGACTGATGAAGCAGCAAAGTTAAATATCACATGTCTGAAAGGGGCTTTTAAAGTATATTAACTTCTTGTTTTTTCACCAAAAGCCTCTGTACAAGAACATAAGTCTTAATTCAAGTCGTCATGCTTTAATTTCTACCTTGGACTCGAGGTAAACGTTGGCAGATGACATCTTGGCGATCTTGAAGATGCACACGGCCAGAGAGATGGCACAGAGGACAAACAGAGTGTCGTTGATCAGGACCCGGGCCAGGACTGCATGTCTGATCCCCCCATCGCTGCACAGACGGATACACACAATTAAAATACTGTTCTGTGGAGGATGCATGCAATTACTAAGGGAGGACAAACCGTTTTATTATTGGTATTTTTATCTTTGTTTACCTTGGTGGCTCTGAGCGCTCCAGAGCTCCTTGCACTAACAATGCACATGTTAAATTCACCACCAGGAAAAATATACTGAGACACAGGAAGAACAAACGCAGAGGAACCCTGGAGAGGGAAAAAGAGGGAGGCGAATACACACAAGACGGTGAGAGGACGGCCAAAAATCAGACTTTATTCATAAACAACAACTAATTAAAATTCATGGTGTTGAAGCTGCAAACCATCTGTGTGTGTGTGTGTGTGTGTGTGTGTGTGTGTGTGTGTGTGTAGAGGAAGGATAAGAAGCATAAAAGACAAAGAGAGTGTGGTTGAGGAGGAAGGATGGTGATTATTCATTAAACTCACACAACCATATTCTGTGTTTCTGTCTTAAACCATCAAGGACAAAATGAAAACTGCACGTTACTGGATGCAGATACAGACAGTTTCTAAAAACCAACGAGGATTACAGCAGATTAGTGCGGACTTACTTGTATTTGGTGAGCTCTGGTGAATACTTGGCTTTAGCTTTAAACATCACCTAGAGGAAGACAACACAAACATGATGTTAAAGTCAGACAACTAATATGCACATTTTTAAAAATTGTATTTTATGCATTTAAGAAGGCACAAATATGAAGAGGCAGAGGGAGAGGAAGGGTTGGTGGGTGTCTTTTAGGAGCAGAGTGTGAACCTAACAGTTTGGGGAGATTCCTGCAGGCCACTGAAGCAAACACAGGCTCAGTCTGTAGCGTTTATACAAATTATATAAGAAAAATTTGAGAACCAAGAGCAAGAAATAAACCACATTGCATAAAACCTTGTATGTTCGACACACTGCTTAGTACTACTGAGTGTACTGGCTGAGTTACTGGAGCGATAGTAGTGAACACTGGGATGCATTACAGTGTGGACGGTACATATCGGCTGATTCCTGAGCCTATCGAGAACTCAATATCACAAATTGGAATGATACTAGTAGAAATAAAGGATGACATCTGGTGTCCTAGTCGGATAAATATGTGTCATTTCTTGGAATATCTCATTAAATGTGCACATTAATACAAATTCATAAAATTGCATTGAGTAATTTTACGCTTTCAAAAATGGCAAGGACAGAAGAACGCAGAACATAAAGGATTTCACACAAATCATCACGGAGTACGTTGTTATGGAAGTGTGTTTGAAATCACTCGTAGATAAAAATAAGCAGATAAAAATGTCTGTTTGTGCAAATCTGCCAAATTAAAACACTCGACATCAGAAGTGGTGCAAAATCAACACAGCAGCGACAGAACCAGACAGTTTTTACACTCAGGCCAGACTGGGATCGTTACTCACAGCAGAGTGGGACTAAACTCGTGTGAATTTTTTCTGTGTGGTAAATCTGTGCAGGCCAAATAGTCAATTCTTCTGATCGCATACGGTTATCGTTTCCTTCTGCAGCCATGACTGTCACGTAGCAGTAATAATATCAGGCTTTTTATGCATTTCTCAGTTGAAATCTGGAACAGTTGCTCCAAGTTATGCTTTTTTAACCATTGGTATTCCAGTGTATGCTCCATCAGGGTCAGACTATAACTCCAGTTCCATGTCTGTGTGTGTCGCTCTCTGACAGGCTTCCCTATCAGCTGTGTGTGGTGCCCAGGCTTCAGTCTGAGGAGGCCGTGGTCACCCTGGGCCACCTCTCAGTTCTGCTGCTGGCTCACAGCTCTGCAGCGTGGCCTGAAATGGCCTCATGTATTAAGTCAAAGTCACAGAGAAACTTGGAGGACTTCCAGGAGCCTCTACACACAGTGAGTTTAATTTGATTCTGTTCGGAAGGAGGTTTTACCTCCCCAGAGGAGGCACTAACAGGTATACATGAGCTCTTTTATTCTATAAAGCACTGGCTCTTGAAATAAAAAGTCACCTCGTCTGACCAGTTGTGGACGTAATGGACCTCATTGTGTAAACACGTTATATTGTTGTTGTTTGAATTAATCTGTGAAGGCTTTTCCATGGTGGGAAAAGGGAATAAGTTCTTGTACTTCACCCGAATATGTCCATTTTATGCCACTTTATCCATCTAATCCACTGCATTTCAAAGGGCAATATATTACTTTATGCTCCACTATGCTGATCTGACAGCTTTAGTTACTTAAAGGGTAGGATTTAACACAATATATGATATAACCAGATTAAACCAGAGTTTCAAACCTTGTAGGCTCCTTCCAAAAAGCAGTGTCACATTTTAGATGTCTGTAAGTTGTTAACACCAAACAGGGATTTTTTTTCCCCCTGTAAACGTCTCACATGGCTTCATGTCAATAAATGTTCCAATGATTCAATGTCTCAGGAAAGTCTAAGATTATAGAACAACTGAGGACAGATTTGTGGATCAGAGCGTTTGTCGTCTCCCACTGATCTGTCGTCTCTGTGTGTAACACTAGATAGAAAGTAGTTCCAACAGTAACATGCTGCTTTACTTGTAATACTCTAATGACAGCACACATAATGATATCTGAGTCAGAAGGAGCGAACCAGGACTTTTACTACATTTAGTGGTTCATACACATGTACCTTTACTGGTCATGTAGTATTTTTACTTTGCTGTTTACTCAGTAAAGGATCTGAATACTTCTTCCACCACTGATGTTTTTGTATTTTATGACTCACTGACTGCTGTCTTTGAGCCAAATTGCTCCTGTGGGACAATAAAGCTGCACTCTGACACAACCAGAGCCATTAAAGGGACACTGTACTGTACACTGCAACATCTCTGCAAATCTCTGTCATCTGACGTTATGTATTGTCTTATTTCCCCATCAAAGTGTCAATAAAGAGGAGATATTAGCCAGAAGCTAATGCGCTCTGCAGGCAGAGTTGCACTGACTGTGCCAAAAACATTGCTTTATGCAAATAGTTGAATTTTAAATTCAGTTTTATGCAAATGAACAAACAAAGAACCACAGGCAGATTTATGCAACGGCATGAGGTGTCTTTGGAAGAACAAGAAATTTAAATTCCTCTTTTCTCTCCTTTTCATACCATCTTTTTTTTCCCTAATGAAGACTGTTGTAGGTATAATATAAAGAGCAGGTCTACGTGTAGCAGCAAAATGAATAAACACACTAATTTAAGTTGGGCTTTAAAGCAGTTTGTCACCACCAGCTGGTTGATGCGTCTCAGAACAGAAACATCTGTGACACTGAGCCTCAAGAAGGGAGGACATGCTTCAGATTGTAAAATGGTGAAAAATGCTTGTTGTCATTTCCTGGGGCCTAAAGTGACATTTCCAAATTGCTTGTTTTGTCCAACAGCGTCACAGAAGCAAAAGAGAAATTACTTAACTCCATCATGTGGCATGTAAATGATCTTGTAAACTGTCAAGACTCAGTAAATTGCCAGCTATCTATTAACCGCCAGCTGCCTTGTTGCCAATGTGTTATCAGTGTTGACCTTAACAAACATTAAACTGCACACAAGTCCAGCTTCAGTGCGCAAAAGGCACACTGGCCTCCACTGATCCAGTTCACTTGCCTCCTGGAGTGACTCACATTTGAAAGATGTTCACCAAAATGTAGTTTATTCAGTTATTAGGAAGCCCAAAGAGGCACAGACGCATCCAGACAAGCAGGCAGACGTTCACTGTCTCTTATCTGTCGCACACTTTTTAATGATTAATGATCACAATACGCCCTCTTTGAAATGATATCATAGAAGTAGTGGCCACAAAGGGAGCTCAGCGTTGTCTACATTCAGTTTAAACACACACATACACGCTGCACACACTCGGGTCTTTGTGTGAGAATGTAGGCCAGAAGGAGGGAATGTGTAACCTAGAAATGAAGCAACCAGCCAACACAGCACTGCTGGACTGTATACGTTATGGGCTCTATATGTTCCCCTCTGCGGCGACGTCACACCAACATGCTTCTCCTTCGGTAGATAATGGGATTTGTTTGGTTTGCTGATGGGCTTCATCTCAGCAAGTGTAACTCATCGTGGCCATTATGCTTTTCTACAGCGAGCGGTTGGTAAAATGCAGTTTGGGGAAGTAAATCACAGGTCAGCGCTCACGTCTGACTCATCAGAAAACAACTATTTCGAAACATGTGTGTCAGACAGCAGTGGTGTGATGCTCACCCGCTTTCAGCTCATTACTTTCAGCGAGTTAAACTGTGCTGTTCAGCAGTCAAGTGCTAATGTAGGAACTGAGTGTGACATCGGCTGAACACGTGGAATGGAAATAAGAGCAAAGTCCGGCTGTTTTAACGTCTCCAGACAGACTATAGGTTATGATACTGGCTGTACTTTCAGTATATGCCAACCAGGTCATAAACTATGATGTAAAAACATTCTGAACTAATTAAAATGCAGTGCAGTCTCAGTGTGTCTCGTAAACATAGCTGCAGACGTTGGTGTCCAGCCTTTCTGGATAGTGTCCCATTCAAACACAACAGCATTTAGCTGTGACCCTCCATCTCAGATTTATCTCTTTGAGCTGGCAGCGAGGAAACCAAAGATTTATTCCCATTTCAGATTGCTTCATTTGGTTCAGAGTAAAAGTATGAAACAAGTCACTGCTTCACAAAAAAAAAAAAAAAAAAAAAATTTTTTGTCAAGCAGCAAATTCAGAAGCCAACGTGCACGAGCCAAAATCTGCAGTTCCTCATATGTCCACTTGAAGCTGGCTCACCAAGCAAATCAGCCCCATCGACCCCCAAATAGAAACAGCCTGATGCAAAAAGGGTTTTGGTCGTGATAGCTAGTGTTCAGGATTTTTATTGAAGTCACCTGTTTAAATTGTTTCTAGACTTAAAGATTTGTAGGGGAGGAAGGCTGCATTTTCAAATGTTTGCGGCTTTAAGATATAATACGAGGTGGGTAACATCCATTTACAGGAACAACAGTTTTGATATATGTAGAGCGATAGTAGGCTCTTAAATGAACACTGGACAAAATTAACTGCTGGACTGATGAATACAAAAAAAATTAAGCTCAAGGCCTGAAAACAATTAGCTAAAGCTGCTAAAATGCTCCATAAATCTCTGTGGGTTCATCACCATGAGCAGCCCTGTTCACATACATGTGGCCAACTGAGCCACTGCTAATATAAAAGTATATTTGTTAAAGCAGCTTTAGTGTTAAAATACAAGAAGTCAACACACTCTTGTGCTACTGAGGACTGAGAGAGAGAGAGCCTTCAGTCTGACTGGAAGAAATTATAAATCTGATCCATCACTCAGGTCTGAACTGGACAGACTTGAAACCACAAACAGGAAAAGTCGGTTCCCTGAGCTGACCAGTCACGTGAGATTTCATGGAAATAGTCGCACATGTTTAAAGCTATGAGGGCAGGTGTAGCAGATATAGAAGAACACCATGACTGAGAAAAGTAAAAATGGCTGCTGCTACCGTTTTAATGCCAAGTAACACAAACCGTGTATTTTAATTCCAAGGGAGTGTAGTTTGTTAAATGGTCTCGTCAGCAGTCATATGACATCGCTGGTTAAATTTCAAAATCTACACTCAGCCATTTGGACGAGCTTCCTTTTCTACTCACCCCATATGTGAATCAAACTATACTCGGCTTCTCTTTGGAGCACTGATTGGGTTGTGGTGGTAGCTGAAAGTGCCAAAGTGTGTAGGTGCTCCCGACAGAGAAACAAACAGGTCTTTGGCGTTTGGAGTGGGCAGGTGTTAAGCAACTGTGACTGACCAACTGTGTCCTTCTATCTTCCTTTCACACATGGTTTGTGACAACATGCAGGGACATTTGCTCGAGTCCAGTCCGCTTACTGAATAGGAAATATCAATAGAGGCTGGGAAGGAAGGCTTCCTCTCTCCCACCAGGACATCAGCTGAGTGTTTCTGCAGAGCTTTTAAACCAAAAAGCAACCAAAAAAGTACTACTTCAGGCAAGTGAGCCGACAGTAATATGGAACTTGTAAGTTGATGGTGACCACAGTGACCAAATGTTGGCTACAGATACGTTTTGCAGTGCATTACCGGAGATGTTATAAAGGAAAGAGTCACCGCTTAAAGAATCCTGGGTAGAAATCTGTGCTACAATTCCAAGATGGCGGTTGCACAGTGTGTCCTGGCCCTCCAACCAAAAAGCCAATCATTTGCTTTTTTACACCTGAACTGAGAAACATCCAGCCAATCACAACGGGGCACAAAGTGGGTAGCACTGAACCCTGGGAAAAATGCTTTTTAAACCTATGTTGGGGCAGTGAGATAAGTAGATTTAATGTAGTGCTGACCAGTGAAATTACAGTTAAACTATCCCAAAATACCCGCCTGGGGTGTAACCAAGATGGCTGCCTAGTGACAAGACTTGCTCATTAAGACTTCAGCATTGCTGCCTGTACAGAAGCCGTACAGGCGACAAATAGTCACTCATTGGCCGTGACACAATGCTAGCTTAACTGCTACACTTTGATACTTGGATAATTCTGACATTAAATATGAAGATACAGTGAGCAGCTGGTTAGCTTATCTTAGCATAATGACTGAAAACAGGTGGAAACAGGTAGCCTGCTTCTATCTAAAGGTAACAGTCCACCAACCAGCACCTCTGAAGCTTATCTCAGCTGTTGACTTACTTCCTGATAACTCATGTTTGTGTATTAGAGTTGCACATTTGCTGTTTTTTCATATAAAATAACCTGTCCCTGCATTAAAATGGCTTACATGTAACTCTGCACCGTTGCTTCCTCCAGAATGCACCGATAGTCCCTGCACGCCCTCCACTCCCCACTGGCTGCAGCTCGAGCACACCAGCTCACCTATGACTGAAACACTGCTGCTCTGGACTACACAATGAGAAGTTGTAATGCTGGACTGAGTAATGACAGAGAAAAGCTCCACCCTGGAAGTTGACAGGATTGGTTCTTGAGGTTTGTTACATATGAAACCCAGGAAGTCTGAATCTGTGTTTGGTTGAGATCCTCAGCCACTGCACTGACTACTTATTCAGCTCGTGACGTGTCTCCATCATATGGACAAGTTACCATTTTTGCATGTCCATTCTTTAAATATGAAGTGACAGTCAGCAGCTGGGTAGCTTAGCTTAGCATAACGACTAAAAACAGGTGGAGACAGACAGCGTGACCAAAGGTGACAGGATCCACCGACCAGCACCTGTAACGCTCATTCAAACACACATTGGATCTTTTTTTGCTTTGTGCACAAAGTGAACTGTGAGAACGACAAGTTTTATGTGGATTATTTCTTAGCTGGGTGCAGAGACCTCCCTGAAGATGAAGCTGATGCCCAGAATCACAACTCTGGAATATTCCTTTAGGCCTAAACGTTACTTCCACACAGCCAGACTGCTTTAACAGGGCGGCCTCACCCACATCACAAACACTGTTGTATTATTTTCCTCATCAGCTATCCTGCTACGCCAAAATGCTCTCAGTTGATCAGTTACGTGTTTTGTGTATTGAATGTATGCAGATAGTGAAAAATGTCCATCACAGTCTCCCAAAGCCCAGGATGACGTCTTCAATTCAAGGCTGCAGAAGCACAGTCAGAGCCTCATGGGAGCTGTAGTTTGGATAAATGATGTTTGTCTACAGCCAATTCAGAAGTAGTTGTTGTTAAAGTGCTATTATGGAGAGAACCCTTTGAGTAATTTAGCCTCCAGGGCTTTTGGGTGATGTTGCTAATAGGAACTGAGGGCCCGAGTTAATAGGAATCCTCCAAAGAACACAACACCACAGAATTACAGCGTCACTTTGAATGTATGGGAGTTAAATTAAGCCTTTAAAGGTGAAGTCAGATGTGAAGAATGAGCAGGAAATTGCACTGTCAGCTGTTTTATGAAATCAGGTCACACACACACACACCAACACTGCACACTCCCTTGTCTCACACACATGCAGTGAGTCTTACCTGTGTGAAGTAGAGGTTGAGCAGGCAGAGAGTGAAGAACTGCAGGCAGACAGGGCAGCAGTAGAGCAGCCAGTAGGCCAGAGGCTGCAGCTGGTTGGCCTGCACCACATTTTTAAAGTAGAAAGAGAAGAGGGTCGTCCGCAGCGCTGCCCACAGCAAACACAAAAACAGAAACACGCTCTGGTAGCTGAAGCGCTTGTGTCCGTAGTGCAAAATGAGCCAGAGCTGCAGGTAGACGAAAACAAACAGGAAGGAGTAGAGGACGGTGTAGATGGTAGTGAGACTGAGCTCCAGTGTTGGGGAGATTGCAGCTCCGGAGGACTCCTTCACTGAGGTAAACAAACGGGAATTAACCTCCTCGCCTGCCGAAAACATCTCCACTGGCGGCTCGCTCTAACACATGGGATGCTGTGAAGGCAAACACGCTGAAAGTGGGTCAGACCTGAGCTAAATTCACCGTGGATGACAAAAAAGACGCTGGTATTCGAGTGAAAAATTGCGAGAAAAGCAGTTTATTCTGAAAAGAAGTGGCATTCTGAGAGTGCGCTGGGTTTCAAATTCGGTAGAGGGCTGCTGAAAAAAACTGGATCTAGTTTTAAGAAGCGCTAGGCTAGAAATAACAAGAAAGACAGACAGAAAACAAGAGAGAGGTCCCCCTGTGATTCTCTGCAAAGCTGCTCTCTGCAAAAAACAACTTGAGGGGGGAAGAACCTCCAGATCAGCTGTGATGCAGTTTTAGACCCGCCCCCTTATTCCTAATTAAAAAGGAAACTGCCGCTTTGTGTGCCGCCATCTTGGCTCAACACCAGCCTTATCTTAGTGACAAACAGCTGACTCCAGAGCCACGAATTCCAGTTAGTTTCCTAGCTAACTCTAACAATTCAACGAGAACAACAGCTCATTGGATAATCATGCTGCCCAACCTCCACAACTGTCTCACTTCATTGGTTTACGATGATGTCAGCTGCGGATGGTCCCGCCCACCACAGTTCTCTGATTGGTCCTTTGTTCAAGTCAAAACTAGTCTCTGGTTTCATTGGTTCGATGAAGCACGTGGGCGTCTTTCGCAGAAGGAGAAGCATCAAAACAATTTGCAGAAAGTAGCGTCAAGCTAGAAGAACTAGCACTTCTAAAAGCGCCTTTGATTTCAAAATAAAGCAAAAACCATTGTCTTTACATATAATGACACACTATTGGTAACGAAAAAACACATTTAAAGCAGTTTATTAACAAAATATTCTTACAGCGTGATGCTTGCCTTTATCGTACAAAGTGGTTCTGACTATTAACAAACACATATTTTGCCATTCTAATTTTTAATATGAAAGGGTAACCGGAAGTGTCGTGGTGACGCTTGTAGCTTAACACACTGTGAGAGATGGAGCATCATTCTTTTAAAACACATTTTGACATGTTTCACTGTGCAACCGGGCGAAAAATAACCTTGCATGCAACGTTTGTCGGTGGCCTACCTCGTCTATGGACATAAACCGACATGTATGTTCTAATTTTTACAAATATTAACGTTGGCTAGTCGTTAGCTATATAAAACCATGTACGAGCATCCATTAATAGGCAGCTAACAGGCATAGCTAATGAGCTAGCATCACTTGGCTTCACCTTCCTAACTAAAGCACAAAAACGCAAAATTTGGACTTTGTGTGGGATTTTGCTTTTAATGGATTAGATCTTAATCAGCCTAATAATGTTATTTTCACCGTCCACCGCGGGTTAGCTTCGGTGTTTGGCGTGTTTGCCTCTTGCAAAGACAAAAGTTGAACTTTAACTTTCGCCCAAACTCTGCTTTCTCAGGTAAAGTTAAGCTGTTTGTTGTCATATTATGCTAATTCTGTTGCTGCCCCTATACAGTTTAATGACCAGCAGTATGTTTTACATTTCTTTGGTTTGATTATAATCCTTATAAGTCCCAGAATGAACCTTGGTGCCTCCTTTTTGGAAACCAAAGCTGAGATTATTACAACTAGCTGCTTTTAAATGCAGCACTGTCTGAGCAGGAGTTGTGTTCATCATGTTTCTCAGCCAAACACTGATGCACAGACAATTCTTTTTTTGTCTGCTGTGTATTGGTCTCTGCTGATAACACTTTTGCTCATGTAGTTTCATACCAGAGTGTTTTTTTCCTCCTTCCAGAGCCCACATCCCCGTTGCTCATGATGTGGATGTGTGTCGCTGTGTTCCTGCTGTGGATGAGGTCAGGAGGATGCACAGACAAGGCCAACACGTCAGACCTCATTGAATACACAGCTGCAGACTTCTATGAGAAATTGCATTCTGGGAAGATGATGTTTATCTATTTTGAGCATCAAGGTAAGGTAGCAGCTCCATCTTTTCCATATTTCTATTCAGAACACATACTTTAGCGATGTTGCAGCACAGCCTGCACAGTGTTGGCTGCCATGCTGACATGACATCAGTTTAGTGCATTTTGGAAAAGCTGTTGTGCTTTTAGCCTTTTTGTTTGACAGCCTAAGAGTTACAAGAAAAGATGGATTTTAAAGCTTATTAAAATATGATCTGGAGGAGGTGTATGAACACTAAAAATGCAACACAGAGCTATGTGCTGTTTCCTGATGTTGCACAACAATCCATCTGATGCTTGCATGTGGTCAGATGGGATGTAAACCTTGTGACATTCTGTGGAATAGGTTGATTTACATTCCTGCCAGTGTATTTGCAAAACAAATGTTTCACTGGGATTGTTCAAATACCTTATAGGTAAGGTTGCTGGCCTATTGGTTTGTGTGCACTCACTGGTCGCCTAAATAGGTTTATCTGTACATTCTAATACAGTGCATCTCTGTGTGTACTGCTGCTGATGACACAGAATTTGTCCACTGTGAGATAAATAAAGGGATCTCTTATCTTATCTTATCTTATCATACAATAGTGATATCTCTGATCATAGTGTTGATCCTAATCTAACATTTAACAAAGATGGCTCAAAGTTCCTCCATATCAGGAACTGTCCCACCACAACACCAGCAGCATTATACTGAATGATCACGTCACATCTGTCTTAAAGTTTAACAAGCAGGTCAGGAGTCTCCTCCACCGTTAAACCCTGTACAGTCAGCATCTCACTGCACGCCACCGTTGCTGTGTAAGGAGTGAGAATCTACTGGTGGCTCGTCATGGCTTCGTTCATCTCCCTGTTAGTGCTTTTATAATAAAGAAATGAAGTGATGAACACAGTAGATCTGTGGCTGGAGGAGGTTGTATGACTCCTGTGAGGACGTGTGTCTTTGTGCAGTCAGCAGCTTCCAGATTGTCACACATATCATTCATTTTAAAATAAGAATAATTTAAAACCCTGGTTAAGACACAATGAAGTGTATGAACATCCCTATACCTTATTCTAGTCTTCTTTGTTGTATGTTATATGCCTTACTGTCCTCGTTTTTAAGCATGTTTATACAGTATTGCTGTTCCTCGTTGATGTATTTTACAGTGTGTGTCATTTGTGTCTGTGGGTGACATAAACATCTGTTAATGGCTGCTGTTGCTTTTCGTTTTAAACTGTACAGATATCTAAAAATAGAATATGAATGATAACCGCCCAGTCTAGTATCTTGTAATGAAAGCCTCTTGTTCACTGACTAATCCACAGTAACAGTATTTCTCTCTGCCCTCGCTTCTGTTTCCAGTCTCTCCAACCATCTCCCTGTTCTTGGTGGAGTTGGAGAAGTCTGCCGAAGCGCTGCAGGATTACGGAGTCCTGGTTGGCACGGTAACTGTTGTCCTCTCGTAGAAGTTAACGTTGAAGTCTGAAAGTTTTTGCTAACTTTGACATTTGCACCAGCAAAGAAGATGAATTCTGTGTTTTTTTGTCGTTGGCGTTTAGATCAACTGCAACAAGGAGCTGGTTCAAACCTACTGCACAGATGAAAGGCTGCTGCACACGGCTTTTCTGTTCAGGTAAGTTGAGCTGACTGGAGACGATCTAAGTACATTATTTACACACCACTATTACTCCCGTGCTTCCCCCCATATCCATGTATTAGTGTCCCCATTCAGCTCTACAACTCTGGTTCGGAGGCAAATTACATGAAATTTGGACGAACGACTACTAGTGATGAGTAGAATCAAAAGTATGTCGCAGTGGGAGCTGTTGTTATTTAGGATACCCTCATTGATATGCACGAGGAGGACTAAATAATTAAAACACTTCTCAGTAGAATGCAGCAGCACAAACTATAATGAGCATAAAATAAAAAAAAGAACATTATAACCTTCCTGAGGGGAGGATTTATTGCAGGACTGTTGTGTTAGATTAGTTTTCAGTGGAGTGTGTTTATAATCTTTCTGTTGCTGTGATGGTTTCTCTCTGTTGACAGAGGCGGTAAGGAGTTCTTGAGTTTTGATTTGGACACAGTCTTTGACGTCAACTCCATCGTCTCTGAAGTCCTGTTGTAAGTAAGCGGCGCTCTGAGTTCTAACGAGCTGTGTGAGGCTCTGACTTCTACACGGGGAGGAAAAAGAGCTGCAATTATGTATAAATTTAGAGGAACCAGCGGGTTTGGGCCTGAGTGGAAGTCAGAAAGGATTGAGAAACGGTCTTATTGTTTTTCTTGTAGTCTATTTGTGGGCTTTTGTTGGCTCTAAGAAAATTATAGAATGAAACTAAGCTTTTGTCTCTTCCTCTTCCAGCGCCATCCTGCGTGACGAGGTCAAGTACGTCCACACAGACGCTGATCTCCTGGCCATGGAGAAGGCAGCCAGAGGGAAGAAGGATATTGTGCTGGGTTATGTTCAAAGTCTGGGGACGCAAGGTATGAGGAAGAAGAGGAGGGGATGGATAGGTGGAGGCTACAAATACTGAGGAAAGGGAGAGTAAAAGGTGGAAAAATGTGTTGTTTGTGCTTGTTGTTTTCCTGAAGAGCACAGATCCATGATGGAGACGGCGTACGTGTACGGATCCAGGTATCAGTTCATCCTCATAACAGGAGGCCCGGTGCTGAAGCACTTAGGGTAAGTTCTGTTTGTTTCCTTTTCTTTTTCTCCAATGTGAATCATATGTTCTGTCTGAGAAAAGCAGGATTTATTGTTGGAGTGATGCTCACAAGTGGAATCAGACGTCTGACTAAATGAAACTGAACAGGTCGTTGAGTTCGAAAGGCCGACATGAGACATCGGTTCACAATGAGCAGCACGTGATAAACATGCATGAAGCGTGAAAAGGTATTGCAACACAAGCAAACAAAACATTTTATCAACAGAGCAAAGCAGAACTTTTGCAGACTTTAAAGTAGATCCTCACTCTATCATAAATTGTAATAATCTACACATTAAAGTAGACAATAAACAGAGAAAATGCTGCTACTGGCTGAAGTTTGTCAGGTTTATTTTTACTGCGGTGCCATTCAAAGCACATATGCTGACAAGAATAATGTACAGACTTTAGACTGGAAAAGATATGAGCTCAAAATATGCTAAACTTGTCATAAACATGGACTGCAGAATGACTCATGTTCACAGTGCCGCAGGAAAGAGGAACTTTTATGGAGGAACCGTGGAAAAAAACATAGTTTCAGCCGTTCGGATTGATTGAAACTTTGGTCCAGTCTGAGGTGAATCTAAGCCTGAACACTAACCTCACCAGGACCAGCATTAAAAAAAGTTAGATTTAAATTTACTTCATGAAAGCCTGACTTACTGAAGTAAGTCTGGTTTAACTGGCAGTCTGACTGAGTTAAACATCCCTCCTCTCTGATCTCAACCTGTAAGAGATTTTTGAGTTTTAGACCACATTCTCCATCATCATCATCATTTTCAAAACACCAGATGAGTGAATATCTTTCGACAGATTGCTTCCATATCTTCTCTACAGTCATCCAGATGAGGTGACTGATTCCTCTGTAAACACAAACCAGGTCAACCACTGAATTGTCGACTCCACTTGAGAGTTCCAGGAATACTTTTGCTCATTTTTATGTATTTGTGGGCACATTAAAAGTACAGTTAGAAAAAAAGTATGTAAATATATGTTCAAACAGTCACTCCTCACATGTTTACAGGTCAACCTTCACCTACATATATGTTCATCTAAAGTAAACAAGAGTGTTGTGCAGCAGATAGAGGAGGTTAAAGGTTCTACAAAGAGCTCGCCCAAAAAGTCAAGGAGAGATAAAATCAACAGAACTGCACTGATCAGCTGGAATGTTAAAACCAGTGACGGCTCAACTGAATAACAACGATTACCTTGTTACGGTGGCACATGGTGATGGAAGGTGTTTATTAGGCAGCAAGTGAACAGTCGGTGCTTCCAGTTGAGTCCTGAAAGCAGGAAAAATGGGCAATGTAAGGATCTGACGAAGAACTGACTGAGAGGACTGGGTCAGAGCATCTCCAGAACACTGTTCCCAGTATGCAGCGGCTTGTATCTACAAGAGTGGTCCAAGAAGGATGAGTGGTGAACCAGACACAGGGTCAGGAGTTGCGTAAGGCTCATTAATGTGTGGTTTGATACCACAGAGGAGCTACTGCAGCGGAAATTGTTAAAAACTTTACCGCTGCTAGCATAGCAAGATGCTGGAACACAGGGAGCATCACAGCTTACTGTATGTGGGGTGCCAGAACTGACCCCAGTCGGCCACATAGAACGGGTACATGAGTGTCAGAACTGGACCACGGAGCCATGAAAGATGTGCCTGGTCTCATGAATCATGTTTTCTTTTCCATCGTGTGGATGAACGAAGATGCATGTGTTAAAGAAGAGAAGGCAACAAGATGCACTGTTGGATGAGAGTCCTGCCTCCATGTGGATGATGCTTTGACTCGTAGCTCTTACCTCAACATGGTTGCAGACTACATACATCCCTTCATGGTGGTCCTTGAGGGCAGCGGCCTCTGTCAGCTGGATGTTGTGCAAACACTCTTCAGGAATGATTTCTCCAGATCTCAGTCTCTGTGGGATGTGCTAGACAGGGAGGCCCAACCTCACAACTTCCAGACTTAAAGGATCTGCTGCTAACGTCTTGGTGGCTGATACCACACGACACCTTCAGAGGTCTGTGAAGTCCAGGCCTGAATGGGTCAGAGCTGGTATGGCAGCGTGACGAGGACCTGCACAATATTAGACAGGTGGTTTTAATGTTATGGCTCATCAGTGTTTATAAAAAACGACTTGTGATTTTAAAGGACGATGAAAACTGTATGTGTCCAGCCGTCTCCTTTGTAACTGAGGGGTTCATAGTATTTGTTTAAGACCGGTGCTGAGTTACACAAACAGCTCCTCTGTGTCTAAATAACTGGTGTAGTCACATGACTGGAACAAAAGTGAGGATGGAGGTGTTCAGACAGATAAAGCTCAAGTTTAATTAATGACGTGTCTGCATCTGTCTTTCAGCGTGAACGAGTCGTCCCACTCGTCTGGAGTGTGGTTCCTCCACTGCAGAGTTCACAGTGGGTTCATGACCCCGATGACCCCTGAGCGCTGCCCTCTGACCCGCATGAGGAAACCCCTGTCGACCCTGAGCCTCCACGCCTTCCTGCAGCTCATGGAGGCTCCACTCGTGGTAAACAGGACATACGGAGCTACTGTGGAATACTGTATATGTTATCACAGATTTCTTTGATTCTGAAGCTACGAGTAGAGCTGAAATAAAAACTCAATTAGTGGCTCAGTCGACACACTGCATATAAAGGATGGAGTCGCGGACACAACATGTGCCCGTATGGAGGCGAGAAGTCAGTCATCATGTAGCCCGACTCTTTTATTCTGAACACAACTTACAAAGTGAACATCATGCTGTGTTGAAGGAGGAATGACTAAGACCATAAACTCAGTAGGAAAATGTTCACTGAGGTAACAGATCAGGTGAGAAGGAGAGTTGTTTCCTCATAGAGTCTGACCAGAGGAGTCGCCCTCTGCTGACTGAGGGAATGCAGCTTTAAATCACTTTTTCACAACAAACCTGACCCACAATTTATTGTCAATACAGGAAAATTAAACATGATTCACAATTCTATTTTGCAATTAGAGCTTTAAATTGAACCTAAAAGCAGTCTTGTCTTTGCAACACACATCAGAAAAATGCTAATGAATATAATCTCTTAAATGGTACACAATCAGATCTGCTCGTCTCTCCTGCCAGTCTGAAGTGTATGACGACCCCTCCTCGGTCCAGCCCCCCCAGTTCCCCTACCAGCAGACCCCCCAGGTCTTCCTCTTCTCTCGTCCCGCCACCGAGCACCTGGACCTGGACACGGCCACCGCTCTGGCCTGGAGGCTGCGCGGCCTCGCCCTGCTGCTGCTCGTACACAGGTGTGTCAGGGCTGCAGGTACATCTACGAACATGGGTCTGGACACACTTCTCTGCTGTTTGGGGATTCAGTAACATTAATTTCCTAACAGATCCTGTGTTTTTGCTTTTAAAGTCACACAGGATTGAATCCAGTCTGAATCTGCCGTGTGTGTTTGTTTGTTTGTGTGTTGTCAGGCAGAGTCCTGCGGTGAGAACCCCTGATGAATATAACGCTGCTTACAGGCTGCCTGAGAAGGTATGACGCTCACGTACATGCATTCAGAAGAGGCCAACTTGTTATTCATACCCACGTCTGTGTGCACGCTTCCAGAGTTCAGAGGTGAAGTATTTGACCTTACACAGCCTGGATGAGGTGTTGGACATCTTCATAAATCAAGAAAAAGAGGAAGAGGAAGAGGAGGAGGAGGAGGATGAAGAGGAGGATGATTCACATTTTGGTAAAGAGAATAGAAAGTGAAACAGATATTAGCAAATGAGGAAGGAGAATACCAGTCTGTGTGTATTTGTGTTTCCAGGCAACGTGGACGATGAAATTGCGGCAACGGTCTTTGAAAACCGAGGCAACCTGCTGGACATGGACTCAATTACGCAGCTGACGTCTGAGAACTTCCACACCGCAGTGGCACAAAGCAGCCTGACAGTGGCGCTCTTCTACCTCAAATGTAAGACATGGAGTCCCTGCTGGGTGACGTTAGTGGGAATCATTGGGTTAAGATGTGCTGTTTATGTGCCAAAACGTCCAGTTCATCACACTTTCTGTGAAAAGAAAACATAAAAAGGAAAAGCAAATTAATTTAGGGCAAACTATTTTAACATTTAGTCGCTGGATTTAAGTTTCTGGATCTAAAATTCAGACAGCAGCGCAATTTTGACTCGTGAACAGTGTTGGTAGAAGTCATGATGACGATACAGAATTACAATCTGGGATATCTACATGAGTCTGACTCGTCAAAACATGATTTAAGACATCTAAAAAGGGCGCTGTAGATATCTGGAATTGAGGCGAATTCAAGATATGTTGAACTACTTAAACTCTAGATGTCTGAAAGGAGAAACCTCGTACACATAAATAACAAACATTACATGATGTGTCCTCAGAAGCATATCATTGTAAACATCTGTAATGTTCTTTTTGACTGTGATGAACTGAATCATATGAAAATCTGTAGTACATATTCACTCAGTGATGTATGAATTCAACTTTGTAAATAAATGATGAAATTAATTGCAGTTTGTCTTTTGACCACCAGGGGATGCTGTGTCAATGGCTTTTCTCAGCTCCTTCATAGAAGTTGCAGAGTTACTTGCAGGTGAGCGGAGCAACAGGTGCAGCTGAACACAGGCCAGATATGTGCACGTGACTGGATAGAAGGGAGCTTTAGTATTTTGTAGGAGTGAACATTGATGTGGTAACACAATAAATATTCATGTTCAGGGATTGTGTGTTTGTTTGGAACTACAGCTCACATGAGCAACAGAAGCAGGAAGTCTGGTGTTGCCCTGTAGGCAGTAGGTTAGCTGTGATGGGACCCATTTTAGCCTATATTTATTTACATTTTGCTTTAAATGTAGAGTTTCCAGTGAACACATTGTAAAAGAAACCCAACAGCTGCAAACAAGTGGACTGATTTGTGAGTCTTTGTACTCATATGTGTGACACTGTGGCTGGGACTTTGTGTCAGTTTTAAAGATTAGATAGATAAATAGAGACATCTAGTTAAAGATAAAGAGAGATCAAGTCAAGCAACTGTTGACAGACGTTGAGCCAAAGTGTTTCCAGCAGAGAACCTGGATTTGTGTTCCATATTCACCCGACTGTCACATGGCGTCATCCAACTTTAATTTTGAAATTACTTCACCTTTATGCTTGACTGCTCCTGCATCTCTTCAGATTCTGAGGTCCACGATGTTCAGATGAGTGCGGTGGACTGCGGAGAGTGGACCGACCTCTGCGCCGCTCAGCCAGGCAGCGCCGTCCCGTTCCAGCCAATCACAGCCTTCCCCAGCGTCCTGCTGCTCCGCCCGCGAGAGTCCGCTCAACCCTACAGAGGAATGCTGGGCAGTGAGGCGCTGCATCGCTTTATCATGATGTGAGAGGAATTTAACGTATCTTTATAAACATATATCACTCTTTCATTTTATTTCATTTATGAATATTTCTATAACTCAGCAGTAGAATAAACAAATAACCAACACGTGAAGCGAACAGGAGTCAGTATGAAAGTAGTTTGCAGATTTTTTTGTATTTCTTTTTCTTATTAACGAGGAAATAATCTCAGTGAGGTTAAGAATCTTATCTTACAAGAGTGTTGTAGCCCAGACAGGAAGCAGCACAACTTCAGTCATAACATGTCCGTCGGGTCGTGTCCGCCTCCAATAAGTGGCATAAAGTTGCTCTGAATTCATTTCGGAGCAGCTTCTTGTGATTCAGGCAGTTTTCCAGCTGATTCCGAGCAAACAGGGGCATCGTACTGAAACAACCTTTTCCCCAGTTCGGTTCAGGCTCTGGGAAGAGAGAGCAGAGAGAAATCCTGGGAACAAAGACAATAGCTTTTCTGGCTGATACTGACCCATAGACATGAAGGAAGCAGACCAAGAAAAGATTTATAAAACAGAACATGACAATGGCTGAGTCCAGAGATGGACGAGGCAGAGCATCTGTCAAACACAATGGGAGGCAGAGATTTAAAATAGTGTGTTTTATGTCATTTTTGTTCTGTGACTCTTGATGATATCACAGCAATGCCTTCAAGGTTACTTCCTCTTGACCCTCCAAATTAAAAGTCAAACTACGGTGTTTCCAAACAAGCAGACTGTAAAGGAAGATAATCAAGTTGCATCATTGGACATGTAGGCATCAGTGATTATGAAAAGTTTTTCATTCTGTCTGTTGACACTTTATGGAAGAGCAACACCGTCGTGTTTAAGCGTCCTTTTGATTACATGCAGTAGTCGCTGAAGTGCTCATCCGTGCATCCGTAGAACCATCTGATCTCTATCGACATAAAAGCAAACAACTATGACACCATGCACACATGCAAAATATAGTTCTGTGGTTCTAACATCTCCAGATATGATAAAGAAGGAAAGACCAACCTAGCCCTGCAGGATGTTTGTCTTGGACGTCATTGCAGCTGCTACGAGGACATAAAACAGTTTCTGAGAACTGTTTAACACCACAGAGTCCACAAAGAAAACATGGTTATAACTGAATCATATAAATAAAATAATAGGAAACATATGAGGTGCGTCACATGAGTGTTTGCACTCGTAGAGGAGGCAGTTTTATCGCTTCCTTTCGATCACACCATTAGCTTAAATATACTCCTATTTATCTTAACTACTACGAATGTCCCCACGCAGGAAACTCACTCATACGTTGTCTTGGCAAAACATTTACATTCAGAGACTGCTGCTCCAACAGAGCTCAGTGTTCTGCTCATGGCCGTTGTGGCTTTAGTCAAGCTTTCCCCTCAAACACGTAATAAATCCACCTCAGGGAACATTTTATGAATATTTCTTCGGTTTGCTGGAGTGGTGGAGTCGCTGCCTGCACTGATGCGAGGTCATGTTTTCTATATGTCAGGAGATTTCCCACAGGCAAAGCTGTTTTGTTCCATAATCACCCAGAGGCTTACGTCCACGCTCTGTTTCCATCTCGTCTTGATTGAGGAGCGTCTCCTCAGACTTTTATTAGACGTGCTGGATTTCTGAGGCTTTAACTTCCATCAGGGCCAAAACTAGAACGACGAGGCTTTCTAGGCTCCAGAAACAATGACCAGTGTCGTTTTCAAGTCAAGTTGTGTTCTATTTAATGTTTTTTTTAAGTGTTAATACAGTTTGCTGTGTGTCAGTGTCCTCACCGCTGCATGTGTGTTTTACCTTTAACCAGGAGCCGCGCTGACTGTCCTCTACTGCTGTCCACCCAGGACGACGTCACATCCTTCCTTCAGGACGTTTCTCATCCCGAGCTAACGGGCTACAAGCCTGACAGAGTCGTGGGACTGTTTAAGACGCACACGCCAACAGGTGGGAGGCTGTGATTGTGTGTGTTGGTGTGACGCAGCATCACTGTTAAGGATGATGTTAAAAATGATTTAATTCACGGTGATGTCCCAACAGCTGAAGCCAAACCAATAAGGCTAGAATGCACCGAAGAGGTGATAGAATTTGCACTTGAACATTTACTGAAACCAGATTGATTATTTAAAGTGACTTACTGATTCCTTAACATGAGGTGGAACAAACATGTATGACTGGTCATGTGTGTTTATGTCAGGTGTCTTGTTGTGTAGCGTGAATCCTTGTGTGTTCCCTCTTTGACTGAAGTGTTCCTGAGAGCTATTGTGGTTGATGGAAGTCTGGGCTCCAGAGAGATGAGAGGAAGGTTTAGGAACGAGTCACCTGGCTTCTCTGGTGCTGCTCAGAAGCTTATCTGACCTCACATTCTGGGTCCTAAATAGTTAATCCATCACCCACTCAGTAAGACCAGGATGCTGATGCTTGTATCTGAGCATCTGACTACGTGCACTTTAACCTTTAACACAAAGTTTAGCATGCTGGACTAAACATGAGCAAAGACTCACGAGATTTTATTCATGATAACTGGGACTATTTAACAGGAGAAACACAACGTTGATTGAAACAGCAGAGGAGCAAGATCAGGCCTACAAACCTCCAGCAGCATCACATCATCATGTCATGTGGTGTGTCTCTGTCTCACCAGGTTTACAAGTTTTTACTGCAGCAGCAAAGTCACTGAGAGGAGACGTGCTGAGCGGCCTGCTGACGGATGGGCCGGCAGAGAAATGGTGACGTCTCTCCATTCAGTCACATCGATTGCTTCTCTTAAGCTCCTGTTTCATAGACCGAAGTTGTAATTCACAATAACCAAACACGGTGTCACAAGTATGAAGATGACAAAAGGTGCATTTTGTGAGTTGTCTGTGCTTATTTAACTCACAAAAACAGGATTTCCGACAGCACTTAGAGGCATTATTAGATGATAAGAATGAAATTGGTTTGTTTTGGAGTGGATGAAATCACTCAGGGAGCCGTTAAAATCCAGACAGGTATCGAAAAGACACTTAAATCGATGCTTGGTTAGATTTTGTAAAGGTTAAAAAAACACCTGTGTCATTAAAAAGTCTGAGATTTCACCACTGAAGATGTATTTTTAGTGCATTCTGACTTGAGATGCCTGCGTACATGCTGTGTGTAATGTCTTCTGTTGTGTGTACACAGGGCTGCGGGCCTCGCTGTGGACCTTCCTGCAGTGTTGGTGTTTCCTTCTTGGAGGACGCACACACATCCGTCCGCTCTGCCAGCGTCCTCGTCTGCTGAAGAGCTGCTCACACACATCAACACCGCCCGGCTCCACCCGATGGTAACCCAAACCATGTGTGCATTTGTCTTGTGGGTACTTGTGTCCTCGTTAAGAAATACTTACAATGTGATTATTTTTAAGTTACTGGATGTGGTTCACTGCAGTCGTCTGATTGGGGCTAATGACTGAAGTATCGCAGCCAAAACTCAAGATACCAAAGTCTCACATTACGATCCGATCGTCATTTACATCTCATGATATAGCCGTAAATAAATAGTACGCGTGTAACTTCTTGGAAGTTTACGAAAGCCAGGATGGAGCGGTTCATGGTATGTCACAGATAACAAGCTCCATATGTGGATTCAGAGAGTTTGGATGTGCTTTTCGTGATGCATCCGAGGCCAGAGCTATAAGCCGTGTCTGGGTTTACATTCGCTCAAGTAAACAATGCAAAGAATTTATGTGGAAACATCAATCTTCAATGCAGATGTTGCTCAAGCTCAGATCTTTGTTGGAGTGTTTATTATGCGCTGATGAATCCGGCTCCAGACGGCTGAAGTGTCCTGGATTAAGTGTCTGATTCCTGCAGTGGAAACTCTCTCAGTGTTTTTTTATTGTAAGGATCAAAAGTTCAATCAGTGACAAATACGTCCTTTTGGTGGCGTTGTTGTCCTCACTTGAACAAATCCTCGTATTTGTAAGGACCCAACGAAACCTGTTAAAAGTGTTCATCCTAACTCCTTCAGTCTTCCCTCCCTGCCCGCCGTCCCTTACGAAAGCCGTCTGAATTCTTGACACTGCGCCGGTTATTTTGCTTCCTTCAGTGAAATATTGTGCTGCGTCCAACGTGCTGATGCTCAGGAGCAGATTTTACATCAGCACCTGCAGTAAATGGTGAAAATCACTGATGTGTGAATCCCTGGTGATGAGCAGAAACTGGGCTTTGTGCACATTTTTATTTAAAAAAAAAAAACAAAATCCTGTTTTGTGTCTACGTTGCAGCCTCCCTGTCAGCTGTGATTTGATGTATTTAGATCATGATTGGATTAGTTTGTACATCTTTGTCCTCTACTTTCTTTTTCATCTCCAGCCTGAGCTGACTGTGGAAAACCTGCCGTCCTTCCTCTGGCTGGGTAAAGCCCTGCTCATTCTCTTCGTGGGAGAGGAGGAGGACGAGATCGGGCGGCGGCAGAACCAGGCGCTGGTGGAGGAAATGAGAGGAGTGGTGGAGCTGGGGGGCTGGAGGATGGAGCGATACCTGCCCTGCTGGATCCACCTGTACGCACATCAGTCTCAGCTTTTCCTCCTCACTATTTGATTATTTCCTTATTAATTACCAAATTAATAGATATATGTGTTGCTCTGTGTTTCAGTGGCCGCACTCCAGCTGGGATGTCTGTCCTGGGGTCCTACCTGGGCTCTATGCCTCCTCTTCCTGCACTGGTCCTCACACATTTGCCCTCTGGAGGTGGAGTCTATCAGTATCCGCCCAACACCCCGATAGCAGCCTCCTCCGTGCTGCTGTGGCTGCAGAGGGTCGAGGATGGAGCCGAGTCACCGGCAGGTAAGGCGGAGGAGGAAATCAAACAGCAGAGCAACATAGGGACATATAAAGTAGTAATCAGAGAAAACATTAAAAAAAATCTGCTTCTGCTTCCACGTATATGGAGTCATAGAACATCACTGCAGTCTGTAGAAGTTTTACTCATAAAATCCTGGAAGTGTAAGTTAATAAACCGTAAAAATGATTCAGAAAGAAAACGTCTGAGGCAGACTGAAAATTAAAAAAGCAATTAAATATTTAGTTAAATTTTCTCAGAAGAAGTGCGGTCAGCGGTTACTAAATAATTACCGTAATTTCCGGATTATTGAGCACACCTGAAAACAAGCCACACCCACTGACTTTAGAAAGAAACAAAACTTCATACATATGTCGGTCGCACTCGTCTGTAAGCTGCTGGTGTCCAAACACTTTGTAAAACTTGCCAAAAAAAACCCAAATCACACCCATACCATAGTTGCATCAACAGAATATCTGAAAACTTGAAGCTTAAAGCCAGAAAGAAGGTTGGACTGTTGAAACATTATCTAAACTGTGACTGATTAGAGCCAGAGTGTGCCGTCCTATAGATCCTACCAGAGCTGGAGTCGATACCAGAGTGCAGTGATTCATTGAACCTGTCGCCTCAGAACCAGAGTAGATTCTGATCTTTACGTCAGCTCCTCTGCCTGACTCATTTCTCTCCCGTTTACTCTCTAATGGTATTCATTTTCTTCTCAGCTTGTCTTACTGTGCTTCTGGATGAGTGTTCCAGCCGATAATACGTTCATGATGAGTGATCCGATGATGCCACATGTGGGGTTCTGTATATTCTAGCTGCACAGTGAGACAGGTGGAGGTGTACCGACACAAGCAGACATGGCGGCTGACCGCACAACTCAGATTTACACACCTGTATGTGTGTTTGCAGCTGCTATTAACCGCAGCGCTGACCTCTCTGCCGTGATCGTCCTCCTACATGTAGTGATCAGGTGCTGACTCTCCAGCCGGCTGTACAGATTACGTTTCCAGCTGGCCGACCGTGGTCAGCGCCTTCTCAGCACAAAGTCTGCTGTGTGTGTGTGTTTACAGACGCAGGTAATATTTCAATATCAGATTTAGCACAGTAACACAAATTAAACCTTCACAGATACAGTTTCTCTGATTAGTGTTTGATTTTAAACGTAACCATAACTAACGTGATTTTTATTGTCTTGATTTGCGTTATGGTTTGTGTGTTTATCTTTATCAGAGGACTGAAATGAGTCAAGACGAAGGAAGAAAGACTTTGACGTAAGAGTCCAGATCTAAATCTCGTTTCACTCTCATGTCCCAGAAGGATCATTTTTCATTTTTTATTGACAAGCTGCTAAAATTACATAAAGCTAGAATTATTGATTTGGTGGCTGAGCGCACGAATCAGCACGGCGAGGACGGCTTTCATCCAACGGACGTTTTATACTTTAAGGAAGTGTACAAAAATGGAAGATTTAAAAGTCGTGATCATAGATTGCACAATTAACATAAATAGTAATATTATGTATTGGGGTGCAAGGTGGATCGGTGGTTAGCACCATCACCTCGCAGCAAGAAGGTCGCTGGTTCGTGTCCCAGTCCTGGGATCTTTCTGCGTGGAGTCTCCATGTTCTCCCCGTGCAGCGTGGGTTCTCTCCGGGTTCTCCGGCTTCCTCCCACAGTCCACAAACATGTTGAGGTTAATTGGTGATTCTAAATTGTCCGTAGGTGTGAATGTGAGTGTGCTTGGTTGTCTGTCTCTAAGTGTAGCCCTGTGATAGGCTGGTTACCTGTCCAGGTGAACCTGCCTTCACCCTGAGTCAGCTGGGATAGACTCCAGCCCCCCTAGTGAGGATTAAGTGGTGTATAGATGATGGATGGATGGACTTTTTTCTAGCAAAATAAAATAGAACAGAACAAACAAACATGTAAAAAGAAAAAAAGAAAAAAAGGCCAAATAAAGGGGAAGTCAGATTGGACATAAAATAGATTTAAAATGGTGAGGTCATTACCACTGAAGGATGTGAAGGACTTCCCTTTCTATAAAGAGAACAAAAACAGCAACAGATAAGATGTGACAGTTTCCCTTCAGTGGAACTTTGTAGTCATGGAGACGTCACATATATCTACGAATCCAAAGAGAAGTCCCCCGAATGTTGTTTGACATCATTATGCAGCGACACGGTTGAGTTCAGGGCGACCGAGTCTGAGGAAGGTGAACGATACGATGAAGTGTCTTTAACTGAAGGCGATGGTGATTAAGCTAACTTCAGGCTTTATGTCTCAACTCTGTGGAGCTCGTGAGACTTTGGGTTTTGTACAGATCAGGGCCGAGATAAAACACCAGTCTTGCCGCGACTCGCCTCCGTCTGTTTGATCATCAGTCGCTAGAACATTCCAGCCCTGCTCTGCACAGAAACTGGAGATCAGCAGCCTGTCTGCAGATGCAGAGTGGCTTCAAGGGTCCAGTTTATACCTGCTGAGAGCTGTTAGAATATTTTTGAGGCTTACATTTAGACTTACATAAGCAAAGTCTGACTCCAGAACGCAAGAACTTAAGCTCCCTTTACGTTGCAAGGCTCGACTACTGTAGCTAAAATGATGCCGACTGTTTTGTAATTCTGAAAATCAAAGTTAGTCATTACAATTCTACATTTATGATCGTGACATTCAATGAAAAATGGTTCCAGCATCAAATAAGAATCACATTCTGACAAGATTGTGATTATGATATATAGAAAAAGAAGTTCACGTACACATATTCAGAGTTCATTACTCATTGGAAACTTGCTGATACAGAAGACAGAGTTTCGTTCACGTCATTCCATCACGAATGCCAAACATTACAGTCTGAATTATCAGCAAACAGACTGGGTACTTAGGCTGTTCTGAAGAAATCTAAAACATTTTAGAGAGGTGAAGGACAAAAAAAAAAAAAAAGAGGAGGCGGCCAAGAAAACTGTCAGCGTCCGATGAGAAGTTTCTTCTTTTAAAGACCGGAAGAAGTCCAGCAAAGAACGTACTCAGCATCTGGCAGCTTCATCTGGATGCAAAGTTCATCCTTCTGTCGTCCAGAGATGTTCGTCTCTAATGGTCTCTGTAGAAGGGGAGCGGCCAAGAAACCACTTTTTCGGAAAGGGAACGGGGCTAAAAGGCTGAAATATATTGAGACTGGAGTCAAGATCAATGGCAGAGTCTTGGGGAGTGATGAATCAAAAGTTTGAGATGTTCAGACCAACAAAATGTGAGACGAGGAGTTACAGAGAGATTGGTAGAGGGTCTGTCTGGTTTGTGGCTGTGTTACTGCCGGTGGTGTTGGCATGTTGTCCAAACTGATGATTTATTTTTTATTATTTGATCCCAAAAACACTTCTGATGCGGTAAAATTGTGTTTGGAGAAAAAAATAGCCAATAACAGAGTGTCAGTAAGTCCAGAGCGAGATATTATAGAGGCTGTATGGGATCATGTGGACAGAGAAACAAAGACAAGAGTCCAGGTCTTAAGAAGAACTCTGGGAGGTTGGAAAGGAAGCTTCGTTTAATGTGACACAAGATTAATGAAGAAAACCTTCAGCATGTTCAAGGTGTGCACACTGAACACTGATTTTAGCACGTAGAAGCCGCTTTGGTCTGGCCTTTGCACATATTTCCAATATTTTTGTTGTTGTTTTTACTTCTTGAACCCTTTGGGACACTGAAACCTGTTTTAAATGAATAAAATAATCCACAAAAATCCATCTGTCATAGTCAGAATATCATAAATGGGTCTCTGGGATAATAATGCCAACCAAATGCTCTGTTGTTCGTTGTGATCCAACATGTCTGCGGTGCCTCTGTAGGGACGCTGGGGGAGGACAGCTGGCCTCCTGCCGCCGACTTCTACGACTTTCTGAACATCATGGACACGCAGGAAGCCGACTCCACCCAGCAGCAGAGTCCTAAAGAGGAGGAAGAGGAGGAAGAAGACGAGGAAGAGGTGGATGTAAAAGAACATTTGGTGTCTAACGAAGCGACACACGACAACCTGGACAGTAACACCCACTCTGAACTGTGACAGGACGCGATGGGGTGGAAATGACACTCCTGATTAAACTTCATTCATCTGGGCTTCGGTTGTTTTCTTTTTTATTCATAGCTTACATCGTTGTCATTAAAATGGAGGTTTAATGCCAGATTAGTGAAGCTTTCGCGAAACACTTCATGTTGAACGATCACAGGGACTTTTTGACACCATTTCTATACTCATATTTTTATGTTTATGTATTTTAGGTGCTTTTGATGCCGTATGAATCATCTTGAGGTGTTTCCTCAGGGGGGGATTTGTAGGAACTGTTTGACTGTCTGGTTTCACTGCTGTGGGTTTGAGTCTCCGTGAACTCTGTGGGTTTTAACAGGAAAGCTGACAGTTCTCTCTTTTTCTTTATAGAGCTGCTTCTGATCTACACATCTGTAGCAAGTGCCACTCTCTAAAATGTTTGCTCATTTAAAACCACAAAAACTCGGAAGGAAGTAGTTTGAAAGCGATACGCACGCAGTTTTTCATTGTAATTACAAATGAAATGTATTAATGATTATTTATTTAGTGCCTGTAAGAGGTTCCAACATTTCAGCTATCATATGATCAGACCCTTTTTTCTGCACACTTTCCACACTCAAACCGTCATCAACAGACATCTTTAAACCACATCTGCCAAACCGCTGATGAGATACGTATGGAAATCACAGTGACTGTAGGTGAAGGACATCTGTGGCTTGGAAATTTTTCTGACGCTGCTTTTCCCATCAGTCCACCTACTGCTGCCCCGTAATGACAGCGGCGTCACGTGCGATTGTTCCCGGCAGTTGAAATGCAGAACAGAGGAGATGGAACAGCCTTTGTTGGATTTGTCTGATCTAATTAGCTCTGTGGCTTTAAATTGAGTTTCTGGGACCTTGGGTCATTTAAATGAATAAGCGTCTCAGTTTAAAGGACACATTCACCCGAAACTATGCACTGTAGGGTCTGAGGTTCTCTTTGTAGGCTGGATTCTTTGCCTGATCTTTAATCTTCATGTTCAACCTTTGTGTAATTACTGGCTGTGTGTTTGTTGGCACTGGGCGTTTGATCACAGGAGGAACAGTTTAAGGTCTGGCAGCAGAAAATACATACATATGAAGTCATATAGGGAGTAAATTATGGTGTGCTGGTGCAGATTACAGAATTAAAGTCCAGTTTTGTCTATGAAAGAATAAACACATTTCTAAGGTATAAGAAGATGTGAATGTTTCCAAGAACAAAATGGGTTCAAGATCCAAAGTGAAGGAATCCCTCAAATAATAAAATGCTTCTAAATAAGAACAATAAAATGGATTTTACTGTAGTTGTAATGACAACTAAAAGATTTTATAATTATTGCTGTTTTAAGAGGCCTTTTTAAAAATCTCTTTATGGCTGTTTTACCTTTTAAAAAAATAAAAAATAAAATTCTGAACTGTGTGAAACAGCGCCCCCCTTGAATGCAACCGTGGTAAACGCAAACCAGTGTCTGTGGTCAAAAGGCGGTACTGCACTCTTACCTGAAGAGGCGCCCGGTGAAAGTGATTAACGGAAATTTGAAGTCTTTAAAACAACGCCGAAACTGTAACACCGCTGAGAAAACGCGAATGGACTCGTGTCTGGGCGAAAAACTCTAAAGTGAAGCGTGAACTCAGATTGTTGGTGTTTAAATGCGAAAGAAATGCGAGTGAGCGAACGTTAGCGTCGAGTGTTACCGCGTTTTTTGACGGCTAAGCTAGGTTAGCTAACGGCCACGGAGAGGAGAGGAACAGTTCAGACAACGAAATGAGCGTCGACAGGGATGTTTCCTGCGACTAAAAGAAGTCAGAATGGGTTTTAACATCAAAAAACGTGAGTCAGGTTCACCCTGTCTGTCTGTCTGTCTGTCTGTCTGTCTGTCTGTGTGTCTGGTTTCTCTCCTGACGGTTAGCTTAGCAGCTCAAGTTCACGGCTAGCGCAGTATTAGCTTCTTGCTATATTCCTATTTAAAATGCTGTCGCTGTTTTGTCTAGGTTTCCTAAATTTGTTTTTACTGCTATTTCTATATATATTTGAGGTATTTGTACTTTATTTGGGTATTTCCATTTTTTGCAGCTTCATACATCTGCTCTACTACACCTCAGAAGCAAATACTGTGTGACAGGTTCATGTACTTCCGTTTTATGATTATAATTTTTCACAACCTTTTTTTTTCTCCCTTTAAAAACTGTATATATTCAAACGTGATTTTGTGGACAGATTACGTGTACCTTGTGTACCCTGCAGTAATATTAATTCCTGCTCAACTGCTCATCAGCAAAGTGCTGTAATTTGTCCGGGACTGATTTATTTATTTATTTTTTTAATTATTCTTTTCAACCACAATTCAAAAGCAATGTCTTATTTCACTGCATTGCAATTTAGCAAATTTTTATTTATTATTCCTTGTTTCAGTTTCTAGTTATTTGAGTGTGAATTTTGCCTTTTCTTTGATGGAAGCGTGTGAATACATTTGAGGACGACTGTAGGTGTTTTTAAAGCACGCAGCGCTAATCTGTACTCGTCTGTACACTTTGCAGTACAAGTCCTATATCTGTGATATGGGCGTTGTTGTTTGTTTTAGATTGGAGCTAAAATCAGTCTGTTTTAAAGTTTCCTGTTTTGCAGTCTTGTTGTATTACACGTCTTCTAAATATTGACGAGGGCGTATTCCCTGAAATGTTCACCTGTGGTTCGGTGGTTTACCTTGACGTGGTGGAAATAACAAGTGAAGTATTCCTTTATCAGTGGTTATAGGTGGGGAACATTGTCTTAAGAGAGATTGTCGTATTTTTTAAAACTGATTTTGGGTAGAACTGCAAAAGGCCAGAGCCCTACCAGGAAGCAGTCCTTAAATAGCAACTCGTTCTTGTCTTGGTGTGGATTTCTCCCTCATGAAATCACCGTTCAGCTAATTGTGTGCTGCTCAAGTCCATCAGTGTCAAAGTTGTAGTAAGAATAAAACACTTAAAACAGCCGGTGCCAGGCCGGTCGGTCTGTGTTTACAGACAGATGGATTGCACCGTGCAGTCACTGTTTGGGTTTTTCCAGTGGAGCCGGTGATTAGATCAGGATTCAATCCCGAGGTGCTGCCTCGGTTGTTCTGTCTGACAAAATGTTACTTGATTCAAAGATTTAGTTTTTTCTTTCCAGAGCTTTGAGCTTCAGGGATTATCTGATCTCAGCTTATGTCTGCAATGAAACGTATGACGGTGCCAGCGCTGGCTCACGAGAGTGAAACAAAAACCCGCTATTGCTACCTTATAACCCTGTTGGCAGCTTTTTCTAGTAAACGGACTCCTGCCAGATGAGCTAAGAAGAGAAGCAAACACATGAGATGATGATGATGGCTTTGACGCCGCTCACTGAGGTATTTTAGGACAGAGTCGGCCAGATGAGAGGGGAAATAATCAGTTTATCTGCAGACGCTTTGATTTGTGATGACAGATTCCACCTGGACAGGCCATGTGTGTGTGAGACCAAATGGAAGCACAGGATAACTGTTTATTGAACTTTACTGCTCTGAAAACCTGTAAGCTGCTGTTAGTTTGTAAACTGAATGAGCCTCTTCCTGTGTCTCCACTGAGCCCTGTGTCTCATCTGGATGTCGCTGAAACCACATTTCCTGGACCGGTTCCTTTGAACGGAAGGATTTAGGTTTTAGGTGTGGTGTGATGATACTGGTTGAACCACGCTGTCACTACTGTGCTCGGCTAGTTTATTTGTTCTTTGACCAATATCTGAATACGAATTTTGAGTGAGACAAAAAAGTGTTAATTGGTCCTCTCACAGCAAACTGTTTGACTTTCACAGTGAAAAAAAACAAAATAACAGGAGCGAGGAATTTCCCAAGGCAGCACAGACCACCTTGACCTTGAAGTTCAATAAACTAAATGTGATTTGTCAAAGTTTCTGCAGAAAATTATTCAGTGCTAGCTTTTCCTTGTGATCATGGTTGTTTTTTTGGCCTCTATGAGTTCTGATTGTGGTCACTACAGCCTGTGGTTCTGACCATGTCCTTAGATCTTACTTCAAGGCCAGAGTTTTGCTGCTAATGATGAGATCAATGCTGTTTTTACAACTTACAGCGACTCTGAGCTTTTGCTGGGATGTCGTGCTGTTTCTCATTTTATTAGCGTTTTTGGATTTCACAGTGACAAATGTGTTAAGTGCTGCACAACAGGACAGGAAGATGCATCCAGAGCAGAAAGGCTGCCACACAGTTAGAAAGGTGACCTGAGGAAGCTGTCATTCAAAAATACTGGCTCATATTAAACACCTGGTATCTAATGTTGCCTCATCGGTCAGAGGCGCTGCTGGTGCAGATGGTTTGTATTTAGCACAGAACAGTAAAACTAGTAAACCCCTTCTTTCTTGGCAGCTCCTCATTTAGAGCCGTTGCCATTGATAAGTCTGCAGAGAAAAAGCCTGGTAGTTGTTGTGCTGAATGGATGTCAGCATGTGACTTCCATTGAAACGTTGCCGGGCTAAACAAAAAAGACAACTCGTCACTGACTGCTGGTTAGAAAGGCTTATGTTTTATAACATAGTGTTAAGTCTCCTACAGAGCCGTCACAGTGAGAGTTTAACATGAAGGGGTTCTCAGTAAGAATGTGAAATGTCTTCATTTTGAACTTAAACTGCATAGATATTCATTTGTTCTTATATCTCACTTTGATATCAAGACGACTGAGAAACGCGTTGACAAATAATTGCATTTGATGCAGCCTGGAAGACAACCTGAGTCAGCGTCATCAGTTAATAGGGAAGTGATGCTGCGGTGATCATGTGTGTAACTGGATTGTACATAAAGCACACAGCCCTGGGTTACGTGTGTGTGTTATGACATTAGCGTCCCCAGACCATGTGTATCATTCAATTTCTGGGGGACGTCACACACACACACACACACACACACACACACACACACACACACACACACACACACACACACACACACACACAGACAGCAGGTCTGATGCCTCAAGCAGTGTAACCTTTGCAGGCAGTTTCATGTCTCTATTCAGGTCATTCTTTCGCAGAAACAAGAGAAATTAGTAATTTTTCACTTGTAGGAGTCGTCATACATTACAGTGAGTAAAAGCAGACAACGGTGGTTAAGCTAAAGGCCAGTTTCAGCCATTGCATAACTCCGACCACAGCAACTGGTTTCAGGGATCTGCAGCTCTACAGTAGTTGGAATCAAACGCAGGAGTGAGTCAGCACACATTGAGGGATTTGAAGAAGGAATCTGGCTGGATTACAAGGCCAGCGTATGGACTCACAGAGGCTTGGTGCCACAATTACACACAGATGCTGGCATGTAAGAATGCACAAGTAACGATGGGGAGGCAGAAGCACAGCAGAGCCATGAGATCAGATCTGTTTGGAACTTTCACTCCGGTTTTATTGTGTCTGAAAATAGCTTTCTGTCTCCACAACCTATTATTATAAGCTCCTACCTGTGGTTGTGTGTGTGTGTGTGCACGTAACCAAGCCAATACTTTGGAGTCAGTGTTATTAG